TCCAAGTCCAGTGCTCTGTCCCCTGTATGACCTAAAGAAATCTTTAAAGTTTAAGTTTGAATCAACATTATACCAAGGATTTTGTTCAGAGAAAAGAATATCACTTTTTCAAGGACTGTATCTAGGGGATTTGTAAATCGAATGACATTTGATGGGGACAAAATCTTGGAATTTCTGCTTTTAACTTACATGGTAGAAAAACTCCTGGTATTTACTACAATTCTATTTTTTTTTCCCTTTGAGAGCAAAAGTGGCATTAGCTTCTCCCCCACCATTTTTTTTTTGTCTCAAGCCAACCCCTCTGAACCAGTTTTCTTCATCAGAATCTTAGGGCCAAATTTCTTTTGAGGATACAATGTCCAGCCAATTAGTGCACATGGAATCTGTATCTCTATCCATTTTTTTTTTGTTTTTGTTTTATTTTGTCTAGGCAATGGGGTTAAGTGACTTGCCCAGGGTCACATAGCTAGTAAGTGTTATGTGTCTGAGGCCGGATTTGAACACTCAGTTACTCCTGAATCCAGGATCGGTGGTGCTCTGTTCACTGTGCCACCTAGCTGTCCCTCTACCCATTTTTTAAGGTAGCCTTCAGATTAAGTTCCCATTAGTATATACTGTCTTTTTACTGGTCTTGTTTAACATACTTGCAGAAGGAGAACCAATTCATGTCTAGCCACTTAGTCTTTTCATACTCTGGGTTGTAAAATAAATGGAAATTACTCCTCCAACTTCCAGACCCAAAATACATAAGACTTGGCCCCCTCAACCTTTGGGGAGATTAGACAAATTAGTATGCCATCTCCCTGACCATCACATCATCTCTTGTAGAAGGGTCATTCTTCCTTAACTTCTGTCTGTGGCACCACATGAAGGCACTGCCATCATTGAAATATCATGGGGTCTGTAGCATACAATTCATTGTAGAGACTGGGGCCCAGCTCTCTTCATTATATTGTGCCCATCATTTCCCTCACTCAACAGCTGGTTGCAGTCAGTATTCTCCTCCCTGTATGGACTTGATTATGGCCCGTCCCCTTCCCTCAACCCTAGAGCGGCCAGAATATCTTGATTATATATGATAAGAGTGATCAACAAATCACCCCTAGAAGTAAACTTCTAAGTCCCAAAGGAGGAAAAAACAGAAACTTTTTTGTAGTTACCCATCTCTTTAGCAATTTCTGTAACATGAATTACACATGCATTTACAAAGGGAGAGGGAGTCCCCCCTCTGCTTTTAAATGCAGATTCAAGGAATGCAGCATATAGATGACCTGCTATTTTATTATTCCCCAAATGCTTCTCAGGTTTTTAGGAATAAGTTCATCATGTGATATCAGGCTAGGAAAATCTTATACCTTCTATAGGTCCATAAGACAAATCTGTAAGACTCTTCATTGATGTGTCCCTCTTTCCCAAGCCAGATCTGCCACTTTTATGATGCTATTGACTTTTCCTTTTAAAATTCTTATAACACTCTTGTTATTATTTTCTAGATCTCTCCTAAAATTAGGGGACCCTTAATAAATTCCCAGTACAAATACTTTACAATACTTTTGAAACATTACATATTCCATTTTGAAATAGAGGTGATATTAAAGTTATAGTTAGAAAACCAATAAGGCTAACCAATTACTTAACATGAAGTCTATATAATACATGATATATAATGAACAATTTATCAAAATAATAAATCTAAATAATAATCTATATAGGAAATAAACTAATAGTTATAGCAGTTATCAATTAAAATGTAAAACAAGCAAGTTAATATCATTAATAATTGACAACACTGATTTTCAGAAACTTTGCATTTATGATTCTATGAGAACTTTTCCATGGGAGAGAAAGAAAAAAGTATATAAATCTCAGACATAAACCTTCCTCCCAGGTATAGCAGAATTTGGGGGTGAACTGCTCCACATGCCACCTATATATTGTGGTCACCTCTCAGCCTACTATCTGCCTCTTTATAAAATTCATTCTTATCATCCTGAACTCTAAGTTAATCCATGGATATGCTTGAGAATTTCCTTAATAATTACATAAATTGAAGACTCTCATTAATTAACCAGTTTGCTTTGAATCTCACCCCCATTTAGTAAATATTATTCACTTAATAAACTAAAGAGACTTATTTTCACAAAAATATTTGTCTATCTATCTATCTATCTATCTATCTATCTGTCAAAACCTCTAATCTTCTAGGCTTAAATAAACATAAAAATTACTGGCTATACATTTTAAACAATGTGACAAATAGTTACACAAAAGCATGTTTTTTTTTACAATGTTTTAGTTCTGAGAAAATTCACAGCCAGTGCTCTAGCCGTAATTACAACTACTTTCCCAGAGGTGCTGCTCTGTGAAACAACAGAAGAAAGCATTGAATTTGGAGTCAGAGAAACCTTGCACTTGGTAATCAATCTGTAAATCAACAAATACTTATTAGATGCCCATTATATTCTCTGGACATTGGTTTCCTCATCTGTAAAATGAAGTGGTTCAGCTGGATCGTCTCTTGAAATTCTAAATCTGTGATTCTGACCAGCTACAAAGACACTTCACAATCCTGTTCACAATCTTGCCATTCAATTCTGTCAGGATACCACCATCCTCTCAGTGCTCTGGGCAACTCTCTAGGACCATAAATTGGTTAGAAGAAGCCAATCTTTATCTGGGAGTATACTCTAGCAATAAATTCACAGGTCGATTCCACATCTCTCTGGCCCTTTAAGAATTATCTTCATCTACTTCCCAAGATCAGGGTTAAAACAGTTCTCTCTAAAAAAAGAAATGCCCTTTATTCTCTTTTTGTATTTATGCAGTTTCTCTCAAGCTATCACTCAACCATCTTTCCAGAATGAAAACTAAACAGCCAAGTTCTTCAAGAATCTCTTGTGTGTCTTGAAGATAAACAGTAGTGATAGTCTCTATGGGATAACCTGTTAGCCCTGGTGTTACTGTACATATCATTGTAGAGTGTATAGACTAGAGCCAGGAGGAGGAGCTGAAAGATTTGATATTTCAAGTCTCAAACTTCTTGCAGGAGACGCTCTATGAGTCCCATAGTCCAATCTAGTATGTCCTTGTCAACTTATTACTAGGGCTGCCCATCTCTTCACTTCTTTCCTCCAGGTCAAGATCTCTGCAGGATATCCCAAGCTGTAGCCCATTCTACTTGGGAGACAACATCAAGTCAATCCCCAGGGCTTCTGACTAAATTTAGGCCTTATGATACCCACTTGTATCACTTTTGCTTGGCTTAATGCTATGGAGCATTTCTACCAATTTTAGGCAGCTAGAAAGGTGCCAAATGGCTGGGCAACCTGGAACTTGCGCCATCTGTTTAATTCCATACTTCAGCCCAACCTCTTCAATTAGGCCCCACAAATTTGTGTTCCTAATCCTGGGTGTGACTCCCCTCCAAGTTTTACCAAATCAGGACTTTTGTCTAAAAGTTGTTTTCATAGCTCAAAGTACAAAAAGCCTCAGAGGATTAAAGGCAAAGACTTTTGGGCTGCTATTTAAGCATTCTATTAGCCTTCCAGGTAATGTCAGAAAATCCTGACTAGGCACTTTTCCCTCCATCAGGGTTACATTTGGCATATTCCCCCACAATCCACTAAAAAAAAAAATTATACCCTAGATATCTAAGGAAGGATTCAGAGTCCCCTTGCTCACAAGTACCTGTGTATTAATGTATACATTAGTACATTAATAATACATTAATAAGTGTATCTTTCCTCTCTTTCTAATATTCTTCAAAAGGACAGGTCACATTCTAAATGGGGGGGGGCTAGTTATATGGGAGAAGTCAGTTCTAAAAAGAAAGCCTAACTTAATAAACATTCATGAAGAGACTCCTATGTACACTGTACAAGATTGTTGAGGGAGATACACAGTTCCTGCCCTCATGGGGATTTTTCTCTATAGAGTATTTTATCCACATTTTATCTCACCCCTACCAAGAAGTAATAAATCTCATGGATTAACTGAGCATGGGTAATGAAGGGAGGGAGGAATCAAATAACTCTGGGGTGCCTAAGTGACTGGGAGGATGTGGTACCACCAAGAGCTTTCTCTGATGTTCCCAGCTAGAAATAATTTCTTTCATTTGTATTCCTGTAGCACTTTGTTCCTATCTTTCTTTATATGTTTCATTCTATTTTGTATTAATTAGTTGTGTACTCAGAAGCAATGTGTCATGATAGAGAGAATGCTATATTTATAACTTAGAAGACCTAGGGTCAAACTCTGCCTCTGATATTTCCTAGTTGTGTGGTCTTCACCATGTCACCCGACCTCTGTGTACCTCAGATGAGATCCCAGAACTTATCTAAATGAGCAATAGAGAGAGTTCCATCTGGTAGTTCCTTAGTTGGAAAAATCACACATCCTTAATGAACTTGTTTATATATGCCATCTATCCTACTAGGGTATAAGCTCATTGAGGAAAAGGACTGGGTGTTATTCATCTGTGTAATCCTCAACTTCCAGGATATAGTAGGTCTTTGATAAATAATAACTGAATAAATGCAGAAATGTTTATGGGAAGAAATACCAAAAAATTTATGCATTCCTATCAACCAATCCTTATAAATGGAGCTGTGGCATAGTATAAAATGCACAGATCTTGGTTTTAAGAAACTATTACCCTACTCTGTGACCTTGGGCATATCATATAACCTTTAGAATCCTCAGTTTCTCCATATGCAAAATGGAGATAATTATGTTACCTGACTCCAAGGTTGTGAGGAAGATGCTTTATAAACTATAAAACATTAAAGAAATGTGAATTATTGATTTAGTATTGCACTTACAGGAGAAAAAGCAAAGACCAGAGAGATTAAGTTACTTACCCAAGGTCATATAGCTTGTGAAAAATGGACTTGGGACTAGCACTAAGGTTTCCTGACCCCTAGTCCAGTGATTTTTCCACTCCACCATATTACCTCCCCAATCCAATCATTCCTCTTTCTCTCTCTTTCTATGTTTCACAGGGCAGCAGTCCTCAACACCTGTAGTGGACACTCAGTATGGAAAAGTCCAAGGCAAACTTGAGAGCTTACAAGAATTTGACAAAACTGTCAATGTTTTCCTGGGTATCCCTTTTGCCAAAGCTCCTCTTGGACCCCTGAGATTTACTCCACCACAGCCTGCAGAGCCCTGGGACTATGTGAAGAGCACCACTACTTACCCACCCATGTAAGTCATCAGTCTTCAGCTTCTTCTGAGGATGGGAGGAGTTAATCATGATTATTACCTTGGAATAATTTTTATTTTGCTCCAGAGCTCTCTGCCTTACTCAATGAGAAACATTACTGTTCCTTCAAACTGCTCACCCCAGAGCTTAAGCCCTGTCAGGCATTGGAGGGTCTCTTGTAGGGGAACCTATCAGGTCTGCACAGTGGGCTTCCCTAAAGCTGTGAAATGATTGTCCTGCCTTGGGGTATCCCAACCAAATGACCAAATAAGAGAACTGTTGCCAGATGACACTAATATTCCTAAAATTTCTTCAGTTTGTTTCCTTCATGCAATTAGAAGGCACTGCCCCTTGCCTCTTTTGTATGTGGATATTTTATCTACTGAAGGGGAACACTGCCAAGCACAACAGCAAATGACCTTCACCTCTGTTCTTCTCTCATGCCAGGACTGCTCCTGAGCCAAAAAAGGTTTTTAATTCGTGAGACATTAGCCTTCAAATCAGGTGATCTAGGAGGGAGGGTGTGGATCTGATCTTTGATCACTGGCATCTACAGAACACAAGGGGTATCTGGGAGAGGGACAACAGATCCCCAAGGAAGTTAGGGACAGCTCAAGTGTATTGGGAGGACACTAAGTAGAAATGGGGAGTAAAAGGGCATGAAGAATTCTTTTTACTACATATGCTCTTGGCTGGCCCTGGACATATCTCAGTGTTTCCCAAGGGAATCTGATATCTTCAGGCCTTCTCTTTCATTACAATCCTCTTTCTCCTTACTGTTCTGATGTCCCCAAACCTAAATGATCTATAGAATGTTAGATTTGGAAGATACATGAGGAATCATCTAATATAAACCCTTCATGATCCAGAGGAAGAAAATGTTATCTAGACAGGGAGGGGCCTGCCCAAGGCCACATTGAAAGTAAGTAGTTCATATTACAAACTTTAAAAAAATAAATAAATCATTCAAAGCCAAATCATAATTGCCCTTTCCATTAAAAAATTAGAGGAAGGAATTGGGAGAGGAATCAAAGAACCTGGCTCAACATCCTGGCTCTGCTCCAACCTGTGTGACATTAGGCATCACTTAATCTCTTTGGGCTTTAATTTTCTCAACTGTAAAATGAAGGGGTTGGACCAGATGGCTTCTAAGGTCCCTTCCAGCCTCAAACCCATTATGATTTGTGATCTTTGAGTCTATGGCCTCAAGTAAAATTTCTCAGAGGTGCTACTGCTATGGGACGATTTGAATTTAGAGGCAGAAACCAGGAGTCTCTGCTATGCCACTTATTTGTATGCACTTAGCAATCAACTTGTTAATCAAGGAGCACTTATTAGATGTCCATCATGTTCTCTGGACCTCAGTTTACCCATCTGTAAAATGAAGTGGTTGAACTGGATGATCTCTAAGGTTTCTTGTAGTTCCATGCCTATGATGCTGAAAATAAATGATGTTTTATCATGTTTCCTTGCACAGGTGTGCCCAGGACCTAGTTTCTGGACAATTACTCTCTGACCTTTTCACCAACCGGGAAGAAAAAATTTCCTTGAAAGTATCTGAAGACTGTTTATACCTAAATATTTATACTCCTGCTGACCTATCAAAGAAGACCAACTTACCTGTAAGGAGGTTATGGATGGGGTTTACTGTGACTTTGGAGATGATGGTTTATTGTCCTTACAGGCATCTACAGTAGAAGAGGATAGAGAAAGAGCCCTTGGTCTGGAGGGGGGAATAGGGGCTTGGGATACTGACTTTTCCCTTGGATACTCAGCAGTCAGGCTGTGTGACCTTTTAAAGACACATAGCTTGTCTCTCTTCACCTCAATCATCTTTATTTATATAGTCTTGGAGGGTGGCAGGAAACTCACAGTGGTAACTGAGAGTAAAATGTACACATCCCTTACATTTGTGAAACTCTTTCATCCACATCATTTCATTCAACCCTAGGGACAAATGTTATTTTCTCCACTTGACAGAGAAGGAAACTGAGATCCAGAGAGTGACCAAAGATAACACAGCTGGTTAGTGGTGTCTCCAATTATCAGGCATCTTGAAACGGATATCTCATAGATATCTTAAACTCAATATGGACAAAACTGAACCCATTATCTTTTCCCCAAAATCCACTCCTCTTCCTAACTTTCTTATTACTGTCAAGGGTACCACCATCCTCCCAGTCACCCAAGTTCACAATCTAGGTGCCATCCTTGATTCCTTTCTCTACCCCTAACCCCTCATATCTAATCTGTTGCTAAGGCTTGTCGATTTTACCTTTGTAACATCTTTTGCACAAGGTCCCTTTTCTCTTCTAAAACTGCCACCACCCTGGTACAGGCCCTCATCATTTCATACCTAGTCTATTGCAATAGACTCTTGGCCTGTTGATTGGTCTTCTTGTCACACATTTCTCCCCACTCCAGTTCATGCTCCATTCAGCTGTCAAAATGATTTTCCTAAAGCATAAAACTGACTATGTCATTTCTCTACACAATAAACTCCAGTGACTCTCTATCACTTCTGTGATCAAATATCAAATTCTGCATTTGGCATTTAAAGCCCTTCATAATTACACACACACACATACACACATACACTGACACACACACACACACACACACAAACCTTTCCAGTTCTCTTACACCTTGTGGCCTCCCAACACCCCCTCCCACCTTCACTCTGACATCCAGATATAATGGCCTCCATCTCTCAGCCCCAGGCATTTTCTCTGGCTGTCCCTTGTGTCTGAAATGTTCTTCCTCCTCATCTCTGCCTCCTGGCTTCCTTCAAGTCCCAGCTACAGGAAGCCTTTTCCAATCCCCTTTAATTAAAGTGGCTTCCTGCTGCTAATCATTTTTGATTTATACTGCATGTAGCTTGTTTATACATTGCTCTTTACATGTTGTCTCATCCATTAGACTATGATCTCCTTGAGAATAGGGACTATTTTTTGCCTTTCTTTATTTCTTCAGAGCTTAACACAGTGCCTGGCATATGGTAAGTGCTAAGTAAATATTAGTTATTATTATTATTATTACTAACATGTATATAACACTATGTGGCAGGCACTAGGCTAAGAACTTTACAATTCTTATCTCATTTGAACCTCACAACAAATCCAGGAGGTAGGTGCTGTTATTATTACCATTTTACAGATGGGAAAACTAAGGCAAACAGATTAAGTGACTTGTCTAGGGTCTCACAGCTATGAAGTGTTTGAGACCAAATTTGAACTCAGATCTTCCTGACTTCAGGCTTACTTCTCTGTATACTGAGTCACCTAGCTGCCATCATCATCATCATTGCTTGTTGAAGAGGTGAAACTCTGACAATATCACAGAATCTGAGTTGACAGGCACCCCAGGGAACATGAATTCAAAAACATGAATGAGCAAGAATTTTTACTGCATCTCTAACATGTTGTCATCCAGTCTCTGCTTAAAGTCTTCCTTTAAGACTTTAAAGGTGGGTGGGTTCTCACCCACCACTTCTTGAGGCAGCCAAATTTCTCAGTAACTCATCCCTGATATCGTGAGCTCTGCTTTCTTTGACAAAACAGAAAAAGTCTATTCCCTATCCCATAGGATAAAGGATAAAGGATAAAGACTAGAATTATGATTGCTTTGGTATAGAACAGTAGTGTTAAACTCAAATAGAAATAGGACTAAAACATATATAAGGATCTCTCTAGGCCATAGAAAACTGCATATTAATATTTTGTTGTTGTTCAGTCATTTCAGACATGTTGGATGCTTCATGACTCCATTTGGGATTTTCTTGGCAAGGAGTGGTTTTACATTTCCTTCTTCAATTCATTTTACAGATGAGGAAACTGAAGCAAACAGAGCTAAGTGACTTGCCCAGGGTCACACATTTACTAAGTTTCTGAGGCCAGATTTGAACTCAGAAAGATAAGTCTTCTGTCTCCAGGTCCAGCACTTTATCCACTGCACCACCTAACAGCCCTAAAGTTAATATTATTTTTGTTCTATTGTATTTATAGTTATCTTTTTAAATATTTCCCAATTTTATTTTAATCTGGTTCAGGCCAGCTGAAGTGTTTGACACCTCTGATATAAAGAATTTACAGGTAAAGAATCTTCCTTTACCTGTGTTGGCCAGCACTTTCTCTTCAACTTAGCTTGCCTAGAGTCACATAGCCAGAACATCAGAGACAGGACCTGAACCCAGGTCTTCTTGGCTTGAAGTCTAACTCTCTATCTGTACACTATGCTCCATCGATTCCACATGATGGGTTGTTAAATGCTTAAAGACAGTGATTGTACTCCCACCCTTATCCCAAATCATATATTCTCCATGGAACATATTTTCATTTCCTCCACCAATACTTTAGATCTGGTCTCCTGATTCTGTTTAAGGCTCTTGCATTGGATTAGTAACTTCTCCCCTCCTTCATAACTGTCAATTATCCACATCAATGAGAAAGAGAACTAGCCGCATGAATAATTTAAAAGAATTCTGATTGACTTTGGAAAGTACTCTGCAATTTTCTTGAAGATAATTTCTCTTGGCCTCAGTTTTCCCATCTGTAAAATTATGGGCTTGAACTGGATGATCTCTAAGATCCCTCTCAGGTCTAAATTTGTACTCCTTGTTTAATTCTTTTTAATTTGTACAACTCTGAAAATGGAATAGCATTCCTTGGGCATATAGAGGTATATGGCTTCTCCTAGAGGCCAGATGGGGTAGCTTGGAACCAAACTTGAATCCAATTCTAATCTGGAAGATAGGCTGCCTGAACAGCCCTGAAACATGATGTTTCCATCTACCTGCTTCCTATTTAATTTGGATTGCTGGAAAACCCTTGACTCCCAAAATATGAGATACAGATCAAAAATGTTTTGCTTAAGATAACATACGGCACTTCACTGCTCCATGAGGTCCAGCACATTGTTGGAGAGCTCTAATTGTTAGAAAGTTGCTCCCTATCTTGAGACCAAACTTGACTCCTTTTAAGGTTACCCTCTGGTTTTAGTTCTGTTTTTGAGAACTAATGAGCTTATGCCATTCTTTTATATACATGACAATAGCATATTCTGCCTGAATCTTCTCCAAGCTAGATATCTTGTCTTCAGGCCTTTCTCTACCATGGTCACTAACATCTGGAGGTTCTCCAGATTAACTACAGAACTTCTGAGGTAGAACTAACTCAGATATTATCTAGTCAACCTATGCCAGAACTGGAGTCTTCTCTACAGCATACCTGAAAAAATGGTAAAGAAACCACTGCCTGAAGACCTCCAATGAGGAAAAATGAGAGATCAACTGAGGCAGCCCATTCACCTTTTAGGGAACTCAAATTGTTGGGAAATTTTTTCTGACATTGAGTTAGAATCTGTTTCTCTGTAATTTCCATTCATTGCTTCAGGTTCTGCCCTCTGGGGCCACACAGAACAAGTTTATTGTTATTATTTTTTTTCTGCATGCCGGGGTCCTTCATATACTTGATAATAGCTATCTAGTCTCACCTCCCCCCCAAGTCTTCTCCAGGGCAAACATTGCTAGTTTCTGAGAGAAATGATTATTTCTGTCTCATATTAATGGACAATTATTAAAATTGAGGAGATCCCAGTTTTATCTCCTCTTCCTACTTTCTTGTCCATTCTCTCAAGGACAAGGCTGATGAAAGATAGGATTAACATTCTTTTTTGTCTAGTTATTGCTACTCCACCCAGCTAGTTCAGGCTTAGATGGAGGATATAGATTCTTTGTCTAGATTGCCCAAGGTTGGGTGTGGTCTGGGTATAGGGATAGTGTTTCTGGCCAAGAGTGACAAGATGTCACTCTCAGTCCCTTATTGCAGTGAGCTCACTTCTCTTTGTAAAATCTACCTCTCATTAATTGCTAACCAATCAGAGTTGATTGCCACCCTCAGAAGCACTCCTCTTCCAAAGGACATATAAACCATGAGCCTGCTGCCATGATTGTCTTTGGTCTAAGACAGAGATGGCCAAATAAAATCCTTTTATTAATAAACATGCTGGTATTATTAATAAAATGATTAAATTACCCAGAAATTATGTCTCCCAAACTTTTTAAACATCACATTTCTTTAACAAACTTGAATGGGAAGCACAGTATTATTTTCTATTTTCCTTCATCACCAGTGGTTTTTCTTTCCAATTAGGCCCATAGAGCTAAGGTGTGCCTCATTTGTCTCTGTTCATTGCTTTCTATCATCTTACACTAGAGCTCCCAGAGAACAAACTGGTTCAGGGGTGTGGTACAAAGACACTGAAAACAGTGTCTAGGAAGGGATTACTTCCTAGAGGTATTTCTTCCTCCCTGCCATCTCAGGGTGTGCTGGAGCCTGCTCAGACTGGCTAGTAGAAGCCAATTGTTCATTTTCATGCATTTCAGAAATCCACAAATGCTACAATGCTTGATTGTTTTGTTGATTGTCTAGATCTAAGTAATGGAGAAAACATTAATCAAACAGATTAAAGTTAAGAGTGTGTTGTGTACATTTTTTTTTAATTGGGAAAGCTAATTGTGAAACATTTACCAGCAGGCTTTTGTTTCTATCTATCTGTCAGAGGACATTCTGAGTCAGAATGTCTGAGCTGAAAAGAACCTTGGAGGTCACCTAGCATAACATTCTCATTTTCTTTTTGGTATAAAATGAGGCTTGTAGAAGGAAGGGAATTTATCTAAGTTCATATAATAAGTTAGTGGGAGTGTTAGGACTAGAACCCACATCTCCTGTCTCCTAGATATATGCCCATTCTACTACACCATGCTGACACCCTAGATGTCACTGGAAGGGAGACAGGGGAAATAATATTGGATTTGTAGATGAGGGATCTAGGTTGAAATCCAAGGTCTCACACTGTCCTTGTTACTTCAAGTAAGTCATTTAACCTGTCAGGGCATCAGTTATATTATCTGTAAAATGAGGGGGTTGGACTAAGGGCCTTTCCAATTCTAAGACTGTGAACCTATGGGTATAACACCTGGCCTGAGTGATTTAAATATTAATTCATATTCCTGAAAGTAGGGCTAGAAAAAGTGACCTCTTGAGAGCTTTCTCAACTCTGGGCCCCTATAAATAGTACCATTCTTTGTTACTTAGGTGATGGTGTGGATCCATGGAGGGGGTCTTTTGGTGGGTGCTGCATCAGCCTACGATGGGCTGGCTCTCTCAGCCCTTGAGAATGTCATAGTGGTGACCATTCAGTATCGCCTGGGAATCTTTGGATTCTTTAGGTAAGATCTACCACCTAGGAACTCCCACTGAGCAATATGAACCTACCCTAGACACTATCCAAATCTGAAATGCTGTGATTCTCCCATGACAACTACTCTCAAGAAACATGTGACATATGAATATGGTGAATTCATCCTAGTAGAGACCATTTCTATGTGTCCCTGTGCTTTATTGGAACTTGGCCTACACATGGGTCCTATTTGACTTCTTTTCTAATTTAGTCTTCTTAATGTCACAGACTGTGGCATAACATCTATCATATCATTAGCATCCCGCAGCTATAGCCAGGGTCACTATTTGTCCACAAATGAAGTAGTGAAGAAAGAGCTTTGAATTTGGAGAGGATCTGAGTTCAAATTCTCCCTCCATCCCTTACTCCCTCAGCAAGTCATTTAACTTCCTCTGGTCTCATTTACCTCATGTATAATGAGGTGGTTGGATGAAATGGCCTCTAAGGTCCCTGAGCTCTAAATTTATAATCTTATCATCCTATGATTGGTGAGATGCAGCTTGGAGTACCAGTTACTATCATTGAATTAAGAGTTTTGCATTGCATACCTGCTATTCATTAACTTGACCAATTAATAAGCATTTATTAAGGTGCTGCTAGGCCCTGAGGACAAAAAGACAAAATGAAACAGCCTCTGCTCTCAAGGAGGGTACATTCTATTGGAGGAGAAAACATGTCTATATACAAAATAAATACAAAATAAGCAAAATAAGCAAAACCCTAAATAAGCAGGACTTTGTGGGGGGATGGGGGTGGGAGGGCATAGAGTATAAAACGTGCTTAATAAATGTTTGTCTCTCCCTGAAGTAGTTGCTTAACAGATGTTTTTTGTTTTTAATTTGAATGCTAGTGTAGTATAAATTCTGACAGGTCCTATTAAGCTGTTGTTTTAAAGAACAATTTAGGTAAATTCAGAGAGGCAAATCACCATTGCTGGACATCAAGTGAAGATTAAAATTAAAATTAAAGTGAGGAGGGGTTGTAGTCTATGCTGGTAGAAATCACAACTCTTTTGATATTTGTAATATTCAGTCACTTCAGTCCTGTTTTACTCTTTGTGACCTCATTTGGGATTTTCTCCACAAAGGTACTTGAATGGTTTGCCTTTTCCTTCTCCAGCTCATTTTACAGATGAGGAAACTGAGTTAATCAGTTAAGTGACTTTCCCAGGATCACACAGGTAGTGTGTGAGGCTGGATTTAAATTTGGAAGATGAGTCTTCCTGACTTTATCCACTGCGCACCCTAGCTGCCCTTTTGACATATTGAATTCTAAGTACCAGATACAAGGTTCTATGTCTAGCTTTGAAGTAAGCCCTGAAGCAGATATAAAAATGTTGGATTTATCCCTTGACCTGGAGGAAATCACCATTTAGCTGGGAAGACAAGGTGCACTAAAAAAAATTAACAATACAAAGAAAATTGGCTAAGTGGGATCATATCCCTGGCAGGGACCTTAGAAGTCATGTACTATAACCCCTCATTTTATGAATAAGAAAACTGAGGCCCAGAGTAGTTAAGCAGCTTGCCCGAGGTTATTAAATAAATGTTATTAATTGAATTGGGGCCATCAGACTCCAAGTCCAGAGCTCCAGAGTTATAGGTATTCAAATGAGGGAGGAATCACCATGGCCTGAAGTAGTAAGAATTTGGAACACAAGCATAAAGGTCAGAAGAAGGCATTATGGGCAGGAAAACAACTTGAGAAAAAGGCATGTTCTGAGTCAAAAGTAGGAATTATTTCACCTTGAGCAAAAACCATTGTGTCTGTGGAGGGCAACAGTGGTGTTTAAGAGAATGCTCTAACCTTGGGTGTAGTTGTACAAAGAGAATAGTCACTAACTTTCACCCCAAGGGAGTTGGGGGAATAGTGGTCCTGGGAGAAGAGCACTATGAAGAGAGAAGCCTTGAGATGCCAAGACATGGTTATGGTGCTCACTAAGCACTATGGTGCTTCTCTTACTGCTCCTCATACCCACCCTTCATACACACACTCCCAGGAAAGAAATATGCTCCCTGCCCTACATGTTGGCTAAGTAAGGCAAAGCACCATTTTCCTCATGCTAGTTATGACTCTGGGCATCAGCATGGTATGATGAGACTACAAAGAGATGAGCACCAAAGAAAGAGAGATTTCATTTTGACCCTTTTGGGGGATTCAGTTAACAATACTGATAGATCCCCCAGAGGGCAATATGGGAGTATGGAGTTAATAGGAAATCAAGCATGTATTCCCAGTGCTTAGCAAATTTACATATAAGGAAGGAAATAGAAACTGAGGGAAGGAGAAAATAAGCATTTACTAAGCACCTACTAAGAGCCAGGCACTGTGCTAAGTGCTTGTTACAAATATTCTATCATGGAGCCAAGATGGCAGAGTAAAAAGGTAGTTGCTCTCACCCTCCCCTATCAACCTCTGAAAACCCAGAAAATATCACCCCAGAAAAAACCCTGGAACAGCTGAACCAGAAGAAAGACAGGGTGCAGCAGTGCAGTAGCCCAGGTAGCTAGAGGAATTAGTGGGAAAGGTCCCTCTTACCCTGGGGGAAGGGGAGCAGTACAGAACCAGTAAGCTAGTGGAAAGACCCACTTTAGCACACCAGGAGGAGATTCTAGTGCCTTGGCATTCTACAGCAAATGGGTCTCCCAGTGCCTCACCAAAAATAAAGGAAGCAGCACTACAAAGGGCCCCAGGTGGATAAGCACCTTTCAGCATTCCTCTGAAAGGAGCTGAAGAAAGCAACCTGGATTTGCCTGAAAGTTCCAGCCTTGCTGATTCCAGCCCAACACCAGGTAAGCTGCCAGAACCCTACAGCCTCCAGTTGCCAACATAAGAGGCCCCAGCACACAAAGCCAGTGACCAAGACCTAGGCTCCCAACACAAGAAGCTTGGGTCAGTGCCCTCTGCTCCCCAGAAGGAGAGCTTAATCTCTTTAAAGACCAGGGAATAAAGAAACACCATGAGTAAAAAGAAACATACGATAGATTCATATTATGAGAAGAGTGAAGATCAAGACAGAAATTCTGAAGAGGACAACATTGTCATCAAACCCATATCTGCAACATCAAAAGGGAATATGAACTGATCTGAGGCCCAAAAAGCCTTCTTAGAAGAACTCAAGAAGGATTTTAAAAGTCAAATGAGAGAGGTAGAGGAGTCCTTAAAAAGTACAATTGGCCAATTGGAAAAAAAGTACACTGAAGAAAACAAGTCCCCAAAAAAACACAATTGGCCAACTGGAAAAAAATGTACACTGAAGAAAACAAATCCCTTAAAAATATAATTGACCAATTGAAGAAGAAAGTACAAAATCTAACAGAAGAAAACAATATGTTAAAAATTAGAATTGAACAAATGGAAGCTAATGACTCTATGAGAGAGCAAGAATCAGTCAAACAGAAAGAAAAAAATGAAAAAATAGATGAAAACATAAAACGCCTCATGGGTAAAACAACTGACCTGGGAAATCAATCCAGGAGAGACAATTTAAAAATTATGGGACTACCTGATAATCATGATGAAAAAAAGAGCCTGGACAATATCCTTCAGGAAATCATAAAGGAAAACTGCCCTGAAGTCCTAGAACCAGAAGGCAAAATAACTATGGAGAGAATACACCGCTCCCCATCTGAAAGAGATCCCAAATCAAAAATGCCAAGGAATATAATAGCTAAATTCCAAAATTACCAAACTAAAGAGAAATTACTGGAAGCAGCCAGAAAGAAACAATTTAAATATCATGGAACCACAGTCAGGATTACACAGGATTGCAGCCTCCACATTAAAAGACTGTAGGCTGTGGAACATGATATTCCATAAGGCAAAGGAGCTTGGAATGTAGCCAAGGATTAACCTCCCAGCAAAAGTGAGCATAATTTTTCAGGGAAGGAGATGGATATTCAACAAAATAGGGGACTTCCAAACCTTCCTGATAAAAAGACCAGAGCTCAACAAAAAATTTGATCTTCAAGTGCAAGATTCAAGAGAGACATAAAAAGGTGAATGGGACAGAAAGATACAATATGTTGTTAATAAGGGCAGAATGTTTACATCCCTACAAGGGAAAATGACACTTACAACTCTTGAGAACTGTATTGTTGTTATACCATGTTAAAAGAGTATACATGAAGGGGGTAGATATAAGTTGACTTTGATGTAATGATAAAAAAAAAAATTTAATCAAGTGGGTTAAACAGATCCAAGTAAATGGATTAGTCTGAGCTAAGAAAATGTACTGAGAAAGGAGGAGGCAGACAAGGGTAAATTACATTACAGGAAAAGACACAAAAACCTATTAGAGCAGATGAAAAGAAGGGAGGGGGATGAGCATTATTTGAACCTTACTCTCATCAGATTTGGCTCAAGAAGGGATTAACATAATCAGTTAGGTATAGAAATCTAACTTGCACTATAAGGCAGTAGGAGGGAAAAGGGGAAAGAAAAGGGAGGGGAGATAGAAGGGAGGGAAGAAGTAGTAAGGGTAAAGGGGAAGAAAAGGGAAAGGGATAATAGAAGGGAAGTATGACTGAAGGAGGCGCAGGTCAAAAGCAAAACACTAGTTGGGGGGGTAGGAGAAAGGAGAAAGAAAAGCATAAATAGGGGAGAAAAGGATGGAGAAAAAGACACAGATAGTAATCATAACTGTGAATGTGAATGGTATGAACTCTCCCATAAAATGGAAGCGTGTAGCAGAGTGGATTAAAAATCATGATCCTACAATATGTTGTTTACAGGAAACACATTTGAAAAAGAGTGACACATACAGGGTAAAAGTAAAAGGCTGGAGCAAAATATGTTATGTTTCAGCTGAAGTAAAAAAAATCAGGGGTAACAATTCTGATTGCTCAGACAAAGCAAAAGCAAAAATAGATCTTATCAAAAGAGATAAAGAAGGAAACTAGATCCTGCTAAAAGGCACCATAGACAATGAAGTAATATCATTACTAAACATATATGCACCAAATGGTATAGCATCCAAATTCTTAGAGGAGAAGTTCAGGGAGTTACAGGAAGAAATAGGCAGCAAAACTATACTAGTGGGGGACCTCAACCTCCCCCTCTCTGAACTAGATAAATCTAACCACAAAATAAACAAGAAAGAAGTTAAGGAGGTGAATAGAACATTAGAAAAGTTAGGTATGATAGACCTCTGGAGGAAACTGAATGGGGATAGAAAGGAATATACTTTTTTCTTGGTGGTTCATGGCACATACACAAAAATTGACCATATACTAGGGCATAAAAATCTCACAATCCAATGCAGAAAGGCAGAAATATTAAATGCATCCTTTTCAGATCATGATGCAACAAAAATTATATGTAATAAAGGACCATGGAAAGATAGACTAAAAAATAATTGGAAACTAAATAATCTAATCCTAAAAAATGATTGGGTCAAACAACAAATCGTAGAAACAATCCATAATTTCATTCAAGAGAATAACAATAATGAGACAACATACCAAAACTTATGGGATGCAGCAAAAGCATTTCTTAGGGGAAGTTTTATATCTCTAAATGCTTACATAAATAAAATAGATAAAGAGGAGATCAATGAATTGGGGATACAACAAAAAAAACTAGAAAAAGAACAAATTAAAAATCCTCAATTAAGCACCAAATTAGAAATATTGAAAACCAAAGGAAAAATTAATAAAATTGAAATTAAGAAAACTATTGAACTAATAAATAAAACTAAGAGCTGGTTTTATGAAAAAGCCAATAAAATAAACATTTGGTTAAACTAATTAAAAAAAGAAAGAAGAAAACCAAATTACTAGTATCAAGAATGAAAAGGGTGAAGCTACCACCAAGGAAGAGGAAATCAAAACAACAATTAGGAATTATTTTGCCCAACTATATGACAACAAATTTGACAATCTTAGTGAAATGGATACATATTTACAAAAATATAAATTGCCCAGATTAACAGAAGAAGAAGTAAAATACCTAAATAACCCCATCTCAGAAAAAGAAATTGAACAAGCCATTGATGTACTCCCTAGGAAAAAATCTCCAGGGCCAGATGGATTTACATGCGAATTCTATCAAACATTTAAAGAACAATTAATTCCAATATTATGTAGACTATTTGGGAAAATAGATGAAGATGGAATCTTACAAAATTCTTTTTATGATACAAATATAGTTCTGATACCTAAACCAGCACGAGTCAAGACAGAGAAAGAAAATTATAGACCAATTTCTCTAATGAATATAGATGCAAAAATTTTAAACAAAATATTAGCAAATAGATTACAGCAACTTATCACAAGAATAATACACTTTGACCATGTAGAATTTATACCAGGAATGCAAGGATGATTCAATATAAGGAAAACTATCAGCATAATTCATCATATTAACACCAAAACTAACAGAAACCACATGATCATCTCAATAGATGCAGAAAAAGCTTTTGACAAAATACAACACCCATTCCTATTAAAAACACTAGAGATCATAGGTATAAATGGACTCTTCCTTAAAATAATAAATAGCATCTATCTAAAACCTTCAGCAAGCATAATATGTAATGTGGACAAGCTAGAAGCATTTCCAATAAGATCGGGAGTGAAACAAGGATGTTCATTATCACCACTGTTATTCAACATTGTACTGGAAACGTTAGCTTTAGCAATAAGAGAAGAAAAAGAAATTGAAGGTATTAGAATAGGCAAAGAAGAAACAAAGCTATCATTCTTTGCAGATGACATGATGTTATACTTAGAGAATCCCAGAGAATCAAATAAAAACTACTTGAAATAATAAACAACTTTAGCAAAGTTGCAGGCTATAAAATAAACCCACATAAATCATTGGCGTTTCTATATATTACCAACAAAGCCCAACAGCAAGAGATAGAAAGAGAAATTCCATTTAAACTTACTGTAGACAATATAAAATATTTAGGAGTTTACCTCCCAATACAAACCCAGGAACTCTATGAACACAATTACAAAACACTTTTCATGCAAATAAAGTCAGATCTAAATAATTGGAAAAATATCAGTTGCTCATGGGTAGGCCAAGCTAATAGAATAAAAATGACAATTCTACCTAAGCTAATTTACTTATTCAGTGCCATACCAATCAAACTACCAAAAAATTATTTTATAGAGTTAGAAAAAAATAATAACAATATTCATTTGGAAGAACAAAAGGTCCAGAATATCAAGAGAACTAGTGAAAAGAAATGCAGGGGAAGGTGGCTTAGCCATTCCAGAACTGAAATTGTATTATAAAGCAGCAATCATCAAAACTGCTTGATACTGGCTAAGAAATAGAATGGCAGATCAGTAGAATAGGTTAAATATGCAAGACACAGTAGTCAATGACTATAGTAATCTATTATTTGATAAATCCAAAGACCCCAGCTTCCGGGATAAGAACCCACTCTTTGAAAAAAACTGCTGGGAAAACTGGAAAAGAATATGGCAGAAACTAGGCATATACCAAAATAAAGTCAAAATGGGTATGTGATTTAGATATAAAGGCTGATATTATAAGCAAACTGGGAAAGCAAGGAATAGTTTACCTGTCAGATCTATGGAGAACTGAAGAATTCATGACCAAACAAGAGATAGAGAACATTACAAAAAGAAAAATAGATAATTTTGATTACATTAAATTAAAAAATTTTTGCATAAGCAAAGCCAATGCAACTAAGATTAGAAGAAAGATAGAAAATTGGGAAAGAATTTTTACAACCAGTCTCTCTGATAAGGGCCTCATTTCTAAAATATAGAGAGAATTAAGTCAAATTTATAAGAATACAAGCCATTCTCCAATTGATAAATAGTCAAAGGACATGAACAGACAGTTCTCAGATGAAGAAATTAAAGCCATCTATAATCATATGACAACATGCTCTAAATCACTATTGATTAGAGAAATGCAAATCAAAACAACTCTGAGGTACCACATCACACCTATCAGAATGGCCAACATGACAAAACAGGAAAATGATTAATGTTGGAGAAGATGTGGGAAAATTGGAACACTGATGCATTGTTGTTGGAGTTGTGAAATGATCCAACCATTTTGGAGAGCAATTTGGAACTATGCCCAAAGGGCTATAAAAATATGCATACCTTTTGACCCAGCAATAGCACTTCTAGGTCTACATCTCAAAGAGATCACACAAATGGGAAAATGACCCACATGTACAAAGATATTCATAGCAGCTCTTTTTGTGGTGGCAAAGAATTGGAAATTGAGAGGATGCCCATCAATTGGGGAATGGCTGAGCAAGTTATGGTATATGAATGTGATGGAATACTATTGTGCTGTAAGAAATGATGACCAGGCTGACTTCAGAAAAACCTGGAAAGACTTATATGGTCTGATGCTGAGTGAAGTGAGCAGAACCAAGAGAACATTGTACACGACAACAACCACTTTGTGTGATGACTAATATTGATAAACTTAACCCTTCCTGGCAATACAAGGATCTAAGACATCTCCAGAGGCCTTGTGATGGAAAATGCTATCCACATTCAAAGAAAGAACTATGGAAGTCTAATTGCTATTTTTTTTCTCTTCTGTTGAGTTTTGTTTCCTCTTTCTGATGGTTCCTCCCATTGGTTTTAATTTTTACTTACAACATCACTAATGTGAAAATATGTTTAATATGAATGTAAATGTATAGCCTATACCAGATTGTGCACTGTATTGGGGAGGGTGGTGGGGAAGAAGGTGAAGAAAAATTTTAATCTCAAAAGTATATGGAAGTGATTATTGATAAATCAAAATAAATTAATAAAAAAATTTTAAAAAGCAAAAAAAACCCCAAATATTCTATCATTTGATTTTTACCTTACTTATTAGCTAAGTGCTATTATTCCTCCATTTTACAATTAAGTAAACTGAGGTAGACAGTGGTTAAATAACTTGCCAAAAGTCTTACAGTTAGTAAGTCAACAGGACTCACATATATGACAGATATGTAAAAACAAAAACAGAAACAAAAAAACCAATGTGGGTGAAATGAACTGGATTCACTAGAGGGGAAACTCACCATTCCTCATTATTTTTGATACCCAAGTTTGTCATGCCTGTATGATTATTGGCCCTGCTATTAACTTGTGGCTGTTTCTCTGACATCCCTTCTCTGTCTTTTCCGTTCAATGTATACCTCTTGTCTCCTTTCCTTTACAGCACTGGAGATGAACATGCCCGAGGAAACTGGGGTTACTTAGATCAAGTGGCTGCACTCCAATGGGTCCAGAAGAACATCGCCAATTTTGGAGGAGACCCAGGCTCAGTCACCATCTTTGGGGAGTCAGCAGGAGGTGTCAGTGTTTCGACATTGGTGAGCTTCCAGGGGTACTATACCTTGGCTCAGGAGGATTCAGTCTACTCCTTTTTTCCTCTTAACTACCTATTTTCCCCTTTTCTCATTTATTCAACAAACATTTATTAGGTGACTACCGTGTACATAGGATTGAGGTGATGGGAAAAATGCAAAATTTATTTAATTTATGGCCCCTATACTCAGATAGAGGGAAAAGACCCAACCGCAGATGACTATAATATACAAATATTCCATTTAAGTGTATTAAAAATGCGCTGACCAAAGAGCTGCCTGAGGCCCAAGGGGATGGGAAGGTTATTGACTGACTCAGGAGATTAAAAAGGCTTCATGGTCAAGCTGTCAATGGGGGGGGGGGGAGGTTAGAAAAGCCTTTTTCTCCTCCATTTTCTTTGTTGTTGTTTCTTGTTCTTTCTGTCATCGCTTTTCTCTCTTTTATGCCTCTTGGTTCTTTCTCTTCTTTCTCTTGTCTCTCCATTTTTCTCTACCTCTCTAAATTGAGCTTGGCAATGGAAGTGGTGGGAATGGTGAGGGCACTTGCTGGCTAAGACAACTTTTCTAGTTCCTTTTCTCCTCACATATTGTATAAAGGAAACTACTTTTTCCTTGAATAATATCTTCCCAATTATCCATTCTGGAAAGCAATTTGGAATTATGCCAAGAAAGTAACTCCAAATTATCCATCCATTTTTGCCTAGACATCCCACTGCTATGTATAAATCCCAGAAGGAAATTCTTATTTCCTTGTATATTAGTTCCTATATTTCTTCCCATGTTTCTTTGAATTCTTAATTTTCGCAATTTCTTACTGCACAGCAACATTCTATTACATCCACACAGCATAGTTTGTCTTTTTTTTTTTTTGTTTTTTCCCCACAAGTTAACTGACATTTTGTTGCTGGCTTTTTGCCACCACAAAGTCATGCTTTGATTTTTTTTTTTTTTTTTTTTGGTATATACTAGACTTTTGTTTCTATCTTTGATTTCCCTTAGGGTTATGTGCCTAATAAAGTAAGGTCTGGGTCAAAGGATATATATACTGTCCGCACACCGACCTGCTGCCGGCCATACGCCGGTACCCGCTCCTCCTATAAGGAGCACACTACCAGAGTCTTACTCACACTCGAGTCTTCGGTTCTCTGCCGGATAACCACACAGAGACGAGCCATTGGGAGGCGCCAACACCAGAGTTTTATTCAGAGGCCATCACAGCAAGCCATCATAGCAAGCCCAAGCAGCAAGGCCAGAGCAACAGGGCAGGAGCCAGGAGAGAGCGCGTGCGTTCTGACCACGCTCGTTCCTAAGCCTACCTAGCCCCTCCTCCCCAGCCCGCTTACTAGCCAATGATTGTAGGGTCAGATACCGGAAGGGGCTGTCTGAGTTTAGCACACCAAGGGGGAGGGAGTGACGTAGGAGGCCAGGACCGGATACAGGGAGGAGGCATCTGGGAATGACGCATAGACAAGAGTACGTGACCTAGGAAGTCAGACTCAGGAGGGGTCTGGGGTCAGTGCTGCACAAAGGGACCCAGGAAGTCAGGAAGGTCACAAGAGGTGTCTAGGGATGACGTTGCATATAGGGAGGGGACTAAGCAAAGGGAACTCAGTCCTCTGCCGTCCCACTCCCACGTGGCACCACCCCTTGCCTCAGGAGCTCAAGCTCCAGCTACTTCCTTGCACCCAGCTTATCTCACAAAGCACTGCCCATTGCCTCAGGGCTTCTCCATATCCAGCCCATCCCAGTTCAGCACGACTCTGCCTACCACAGCCCCTGCCTTGACTTCCAAAATACCCAGATCTTACCCTACCCTTGCCACAGCGCCCAACCTGGTAGCTGCCAACATCAGACAGTCCCTCACAGATATAGACAGGTTTTTTTTTTTAATATAATTCCAAATTAATATCAGGAATGGCTAGACCTTTTCACAGCTCCACCAACAATGTATTAGTATGAGTTTTTCCATATCCATATTTCCAACATTTATATCACTTTTTTCTTAATCTTCACCATTCTTCATGGTTTGAGGTCCACTCACTGTTGTAACTTTATATTTCTCTTATTATTAGTGATTCACTACATCACCCATCTCTGTGCCTTTATACTGACTGTCCCCCATGCCTGGAATGCTCCCTCTTCTTATCTCTGCTTGCCTTTTTCATTCTCTAGTTGTTAGTAAGATTCATTGAAACATCGCTTTCTGCATGAGTCCTTTCCTGACTCTCCCCTTGTTAGTGCTCTCCCCACACAGATTATCTTGTATCTGCTTTGTATGTGTTGTATATGTACCAATACATGTGCACATTGTCTCTCCTGTTAAGCTTCTTGAGGGTAGGGATTATTTCACTTTTGTCTTTGCATTCCCCAAAAGCCCACATCTTACCCCTAAGGGTTCTGGTACTTAATAAATGCTTGTTGATGGACTGATTGATTTTGAGTTCTTTTGAAAACTGTTCACATACATTTCTGTTGGGGAATACATCTTTACGTTATATATTTTTATCAATTCCCTAAACATCTTGGATTTAAAATTCATTATCAGTGATGCTTAAATATTTCCCCACTCTCTCATTTCTCTTCTAATTATACTTTCATATATACTATTTGTACGATTTTAAAAAACATGTAGTCATCATTGCCTATTTTTTTATTTTATGATCTTCTCTATCCCTAATTCAGCTAATAATTCTCTTAATTATAAGCCCACTCATCATAGTTTTATTCTCTTCTACTTTTTTTGTGCTATGACATTTTATGTTTAGCTTTTATGTCTATCATGTGCATATTATGATACACAGAATAAGATGTTGCTCTCAACTCAATTTCTGCCAAATTTCTTTTCAATTTTCCTGGCAGTTCTTGTCAAAAAGAGTCTTTCCCCCAAGTAACTTTTGTCCTTGGGTTTATCAAACACTGGGATGCTATTTTCATTTGCTTCTGTGTCTTGGTTTTCTGGTTAGTTCCACTTATCCCCTTTTCTATTTTCTGTTTTTTTTTTAAACAGTATCCAATAGTTTGAAAGATTTGTTTTATAGTAGAAGGTGTTCCAAACTCTCAGTGCAGTTTTAAGCTATTAAAGCTTTAAGAGGTTTAAGAAGGTAAGCCTATCAAGCTTTGGTGGCTTAAAGCCACTCTAAGACTTTTAGAACACTTTGTATAGTTTGAGTTCTGGTAATATTTCCCAGTCATTTGTTCTCTTTCTCATGATTTCCCCCGACATTGGCCAGGGGTGAGGAACCTGTAGCCTCAATACCACATGTGACCTTCTAAGTCCTTGGGTGTGGCCTTTTGACTGAGTCCAAATTTTACAGAATAAATCCCTTTATTAAGGGAATTTGTTCTGTGAAGTTTGAATTCAAAGGGCCACACCCAAGGACATGCAAAGCCACATGTGTCCTTGAGGCTGCAGATTCCCCACCCCTGTACCTAGAGAAAGAGTTCTTAACATGGAGTTCATGAACTTTTTTTTTTAATTTTGATGTCTGGATTTCAATAGAATTGATTTGTTATACTATACATTTTATGTATTTATAGACATGATTCTGAGAAGGTACCCATAAGCTTTACCAGATTGACTGACACCCAGACAGACTCACACACACAAATGGTTTAGAACCCTGTGTTAGACCTTTTTCTCTATCACATGAATTTTGTTATTATCTCTAACTCTATAAAAATGTGCCCTTGGTAATTTGATTAGATAATATCAAGTATGTAAATTAAGTTAGGTAGCATTGTTATAATTGTGCCAACAGAGTTCATTAGAAATTGATGTTTCATAATCTCAGTGAGGATCTTGGTATAGTGAGGCAATCATTTTATACCTCCCTAATGGGCTCGCTATTCTCTTCAAAATACTGGCTTTTCCAAATCTTTTGATGCCTCCTGGTTCCTCTGATGCCTCCCCTTCCACCTATTTCACTAAAATAATTGAGGTTATTTACTAAAGCTCCCTCTTATCCTCTTATCACTCAGATTGATTATATTATCATGAGATATTATCTCATCACTCAGATGCCTTCTGCAGTTATCTCTTCCTTCACCCCTGTCTCACATGAACAGGTGGGCCCTCCTCATTTCCAAAAATAACTCTTCTACATGAATACATGATCCAACTCCATTTCAACATCTCCAGTAGATTGCACCCTTTACCATCCCAACTTACTCATTAATCTTCAATCTGTTCATGTCTGGTGATTGTTTCCCTACTGACTGCAAACACCCTCGTGACTTTCCCATCCTCAAAAATCCTTCATTTGATCTGTCTGTCCCAGCTAGCTATCATCACTTATCTCTCCTCACTTTTGTGACTAATTCCTTAAGAAGGCCATTTGTAATAGGTGCCTCTACTTCCTCTCCTTTCCCTCTCTTATCTTTGCAATTTGGCTTTTGATTTCATCATATAACCGAAACTCCTCTTTCCAAGGTTAACAATCACATATTAATTGCCAAATCCAATGACCTTTTCAATCCTCAGCCTTCTTGATCTCTCAGCAGCCTTTGATTCTGTTAATTACCTTTTTCTTGATACTCTCCTCTCTCTAGGTTTACATGGTACAGCTCTCTCCTGGTTTTCCTCCTACCCATGTGATCACTCCTCAATTTCTTTTACTGGATCTTTTTCTATGCAAAGTCAGCTTGTAGATATGTACTATAAAGGCAGGAATACAGACTAGGTAGGTGTAAGAACTGGGAATTTACCTTCTTATCTTAACTTTTGTTCAGGCTAGAATTCATTTGAATGCTCAGCTGCTACTAAATTAGATAGCCATGTTTAAGAGAAACCAACAATCTCTTTCCCAGTAAGTGGGTTACAAAAATTGCATTGAGCAACTTCTCCAGAATTTGGTTAGTAGAGTATAATATGATTTGTATGGCACTGAAAAGATGACACCAGAAGATAGGCAACAAAGCTCATTAGAAACAAATACCTAGAAGCTACCAGAGACAGAGAGAGACAGAGACAAAGACAGAAGGATATACAGAGAGAGAGAGGGACAGACAGACAGAGAGACACAGAGAGACAAAGAGAGAGAAGAGAGGGAGAGAGACAGAGAGAGGAGAAAAGTGGGGAGAGAGATGAAGAGAATTGTTATTTTTCATTGTTTTCATTATTTATGGAGGCTATGCTAATGAAAAATGCTGTCAGAACTCTCTGAATTTTGGTGCTCTGGAACAAAGCTATATTCACGCCCACCCTCCACCTCTCTGCTACTAAATCGTACTTCTCTTTTCTCAGACTTTATCTCTACTGACCAAGCATGAGGTTATTTCACTATTTATCACTCCTGGCTTTAAATTTTATTCTTATCTTATTTGAGACCACAATTTCAACTCCTACTTTTTTAGTGTTGGCTGAAGCATAAAAGATTTTCTTTCTTCCCATTAATTTCAATGTGTTACTTTATGCAAACTGTCAGGTTTTGATTTTTATCCTTACTTTTCCATGATCTCAGTGGTCGAGGGAATAGATACTGAACAGATCTTCCATCTCTCCTCTTCAATCCTGATCAGTCATTAATTTTGCTCTCTCTACATCCAAATGGTTTTCTTCTACATTATTTCATCACCTTTAGTATTGATTTAGAGCAAGGAGATGAGATTTTTTCCCCTGAAATTTTGATTGACTCATTCTACTTATCCTTTTTTTCCCTTTGTATCTTTTATTCTTAGTTATGTCATATTTCTGTTGTCTTTTGCCTGCCTCTCAGATGGTATTTTTTTAAATTAAATCACATAATTAAAGCACCCTCCCTGCCTACCTTCACATCCTTGTCTAGCCCTAGCTTCTTGAAAGCAAACACTTCATTTCTTAATCTTTCATTACTGTATGAAAGTACTTAACTATGCTGTTTGCTTAGTTTGCATGTCAAATATTCAGCTCACTTTGAGATCCCTTTGAAGGAATGAATTTTTTTCTTTTTCTTTTACTGAATGATCAATTTTGTTTGTTTTTTTTTAATTGAGATTCACCTTTGCAAGATATACCATTTTGGGGGTGTCAACAGATATTCTTTGCTCTTCACAATATATTCCAATTTTTCTTTTAATTTCTTATAACCATAGAGCAATTCTGTGCTATTCTGATTATTCTAGGAATGTAAAGCATTTTTCTCATGCTACCTACAAAATTTATTAATGTTACAGTTCTAAAATTTGATTATAAGATTTCTTGATTAAAGTTGAGTGGGGGTCTTTTTATTATTGTTCTATGGATTTTCTTGATGTGTGCTTTGTTGTGTCCTTCCAATATTTCTGAATGACTTCTTAAATGATATTCAGGCTTTCAAGTTTTCAAGTTTTCTTTCTGTGTGTGTGTGTGTGTGTGTGTGTGTGTGTTTGTGTTTGTGTTTGTGTTTCTGGAAAATCTATGATGTTCAGTTTGTTTCTTTATATACCTACTCTCATGTTCAGTATTACTGGTTTGTAGAACTTTCATGGTTTTCCCCCCATTTAAAAACAAGTTTTTGCTCCATTATTTTTCCTTCTCTTTCATTTTTACATTCCAATTCTTTTTTTTTTCCTTTTTCAGAGGATGTACTATAGGGAAAAGTCTGACTTTCGTTCTGAACGCTTTAGTCTTTGATTGGACACTGATTTCTTTCTTAAAATTTCTAATTTCTGTTCTTATTTCTATGATATTTTCATTTTGTTCTTTGAATTGTTCAACTGTCACTTGTGAGCTTCTCAAACAATTTGTTTTAATACTTCATAATGCTCAGGTGATTATTTACTCAGTTTCCTTTGTTGCAAGATCCTTTTTTAATTTTTTTTCTAATGTTTATGTCTTCTATTCAATAAGTTTTTGTCTGTTTTTATCAGTCACTGGGCTGATTTTTCTATCATGTCCTTAATGAAAATGTGCGCCTTAGTAAACCAATCCTTTCCATCCTGTAGATTCAGTATTGTTATCCCCTGACTCTAGCCCTCACTGTCTATTCTCTATTCTCTCAGACTACTAGATATGGATGAGGTCTCTTTCCCTCAGAAAGTGAAGTTAACAAATTTTGGGACACCACAGAAGGGAGACTTTTCACCACCTTCACCAGTTTCACTCTTCTGGTTTCCACTATCCTCTCTACACATATCTTTGTTCTCACATATGACTCCCAGGAGCTAATCTTGAAAGAGTCAAGAGAGGGGCCCCTAGGACAATGCTGAAAGAGGTGTTTGGAAAGTCTTTGTAATTAGGTCTCTTCTCCACTTCTTTCTCATTCCTTCTGCTACCTCTATGTTTCTTCTTGTCCTATAGTAAGGGCCTATTAAGGCCAGGACATTAGCTGTGGGAGAGTGCAGGACCAGAATGGTAAGACTTCTATCTGCTCTGGGATCAGCCATGGGCATGGCAGTTCTCCACCCTGGGCTAGCATCCAGGTTGTAAGATAAGGGAATTCTCGGAACAAGGCTAGCAGGAGAAATCAGAGGCAGATAAGTTGGTCTCCAGTTATCTTTCCCTAAGAATTTGTGTTGATGCCCTTCATTTTTCCTCGTATTGTCATTGAAGATTTTTGTTTTTGCATTTTGTGGTTCTTTATTTTTATTATTCAATCTAATTGAGGGAGAGCTACTCCTAGGAAATTTCTCATTTAGCCTCCTTCCCAGGATTGCCTCAAATCAACCATTTAAGAGAAATTCACTTGAGAAAGGAAGGGTTTCCTTAGAAAAAAAGGACTTGGGTGGGGAGAAATCCTGGGAATATCTCAAGGCTGGTGCAGAAACCACTTCTAATGTACGGTAAGGAACAGGATAGACCTACATGGGGAAAGAGCTCACCTGAGGTAAGGTAGCTGGGGAAAATCGTCATCAAATGGCAGCTTCTCATTTTAATGAATTATTATTGCTATGTACATACCGAACTTAGTTATTCTTAGGTTGTGTTTGTTTTGTTTTTAATGCAGGAAAAGGAATGTTAGGGCTGTCAGTGCCCTCTGAATTTCAGTGCTCAGGGTCAGAGCCATAGTGACCCCATCTTAACTCTGGCTCTGCTCTTGAAATGTAATTTTTTTCCCTTTTCTTTTCTTCTCTTAGGTTTTATCTCCTTTGACCAAGAACCTTTTCCACCGAGCTATTTCTCAGAGTGGAGTTAGCTTAATGGATTGTTTGCACAATTCCAGCCTCACAGCAGCAGTTGAGGTAGGCCTTTTGCATTATATTTTATTCCAAACCCTTGACTCCCTTCAAAGAGTCATATAATTTAGATCTTTGAGATCATCTAACCCAAACCCTTCATCTTACACAAGTGGATTCTGAATTCCAGAGAAGGAAAGTAACCTGCTGAAGGTTGCAGAGCCAATTGATGACAACATGGACTTACCCAACCCTCTGTTTAGGGCTCCTGAGCTCCTAATGTAGTGTCCTTTACTTTATGCTGTACTGTCACAGGTCCAAGAACACATGGATTTAGGCACTGCTTTAGAATAAATTATCCTTGTTATATCTTGTTGCAGAAAATAGTGACTTTTGCTGGGTGCAAAAAAGTCACTTCAGCCAGCATGGTTCACTGTATGCGACAGAAATCAGAGGAGCAAATCCTGGATGCAGGTCGGAAGATGGTAGGTTACCTTGGATTCTCACCCATTGCCAATGCCCATAATCCTTTCAGACTTTTCAGTTCTCTCAGACAGAATGAATGACCCTCTATGAATGTGAAATTCTCATCTGTAAAAATGCAGACAGCCATATTTTAAGAAAAAATATTTTCACAAAAGTCCTTCAAACTCACCTTGTTTGATTAAGATGTGACCAGAGAAATGGTTTTCGGGCATTCTTACTTGATGTTTTATCTAACTGCCTGAGGGGCTAGATCAGAAGAACTCTTGAATTCCCTGCCCACTCAAGGAAACCTCATTGTCAGATATTCCTGAGAATCTATCTTTGCAGAGAAGACAAAGGCAGGGGCCAGTGGTGTGTATATACTTTGGCTCTCAGGAGAAACTGAGCTATTTAACCCATCCCTGAGGGAATGGAGACCCAACCCCTGAATTCTTCACTAAATGTGCCCATTTCTCAGGGATTTCTCTGGCCTACTCAGTTGGAGTCATCTGTTCACACTTGTTTAATTCTCTGTCCACACATGCAGTATAAAATACAGCCTTAGAATATTTAACTACATATGCTCCAGCCCCCAACAATTAAGCAAGACACTTTTGGGAAATTGAATCAAAAGTGGTTTTCAGGGCTTAGAACATAACTTGGATATATCAACAATACTCTGCTTTATGCATATGAGCTCAGTTGATAAGGCTGGTGGGATTCTGGAGAATCTAAATTCTAGTGATCCAGAGCAAGGTTCTAGCCAGATTTCTTTCAGTAATGAAGGAATCAACTCCAGCTGGTTTGTGCAACAGCAATGAAGGGGCTGTTCCTAGATCAGTTCCAGGCCCACTGGCAATGTTTCCACCAAATGCAAATATGATCTTAATTGCAGAGTTATATAAATGAACAATGCATTCTTGTTTCCCCAGCTTCTATCCTGGAGCTAGGAATGCGTTGAGGGCAGGGAAGGCCTGCTGACAGATTAGGTGTTCTCAAAAATATTGTAAAAAAAGTACTTTTTATTCACAGGCCTGTTTTCTCCTTCAGAGCCCTAGCATGTGGGGAAAAGATAGGTAAGAAATGGAGGCCCCAGATCCTCATATGGTGATTCCTAGCTTTGTTCCAAGAGACCTTGTCATTATCTCAGTAACTATCCCAGCTTCAGTTTGCTCCTGGTGTGAAAGGGATCAGAAACTGTTCACTTAATCCCATAAGAACACTGAAAGAAGGAACTTGAACAGCACGTAAAGCATGATCCGCTCTTTATGTGAAGTTCTCTCACCTACCCTTTTTGTTTGTTTTCACAGGGATTATTTGGCCTGGATTTCTTGGGAGACCCCACAGAGGTAAAAAAAAAAAAGCATCCTTGTTTTCTTAATTATGGGTTTTCAATCTTGGTTCCTTCAAGTACTGATTAAAGACAAGAGGAAGCCCAGTATAAATGGAATTATTTCAGTTCCATTCCTCCACTACCAGCCTATCTTCCTTTCTTACCTTGCCTCCTCCCCAACACACATATAATTAGCCACTGCTAAAAATGCCCTTTCTTGAGGCTATGATTGGCTTTGTCAGTTTCATGGTGGCCTCTAGGGAAATACATGAGCTGGGCTGATGAATCCTTTCGGTAGCTCTCAGAAATAAGGCCAAGGCATCAGACAATCAGCTCTCAGTTAATCCCTACCAATTTGTGAGGTGAATACTTGTAACTGCTACAGAACCACTTTGCTTTGAACCAAGTATTAACCTAGCGCCTTTTGCAAAACCATTTGCCGTGACTGTCTCTTTTGAGACTCCAAACTTTTTTTTTCTATCAATTTACCAATTAAACCATTCATTTAATAAACACAAGTAAAACTCCTGAGCTAGTTGGTAGAGATACAGAAAGGAGGTAGACTTAGGATTTTATTGATCTGGGGCACTTCTGGGGGAGGGAATGTCCTCTGCACTGTATAATGCATACACATACACACACACACACACACACAGAGTCAATCTTTAATATTACCATGTTTAATTTTTTCTGACTTCAAGTATCAGTGTGATTTTATTAGTGACCTCATTTTCACATTCGCAGCTATGTGCAAGTAGAGAAAAAAATGAGAGGTATGATGCTCGTAGATCTGTAGAGCAACTGGTATTCTATTAGATATTTCACTGATCTTGTTCACCCTACCATTGTAAAGAAGTACCTATGCATTCATTGAATGTTTTCATTATTTGCCTTTAAAACTCAAGTTTTGTGTTGCAATTATGCCTCCAAAGCATAATGTCTTTGGGCTCTAAGGTGATGTCAAACTCTTGGAAGTCCTATCTTCTTCCAACAGCAGTGACTGAAGTCCCAGCAACCTTTCCCTTGGTTTTCCGAATGCAGCCAAGGTAGAGAGGTTTACATTAGTATAGTATATAATACCACAGCCTCACACCACCATCTGACACAGTGAAATAAAAGATTCTGGTTAAAAACTGTTTTAGCTCTAAAAATTTTGTTTACTTTACTTAATTGTATTTATGGTACTATGGATTTCATGTGTTATGAAAAGTGAATATTGTTTGAAAGTAAGGTTTTGTTTTGTTTTGTTTTTATTGAGATGTTAGCACAAAAAGTCACAGAATTCTGAGGAATTACTAATGAGAAAAATGTTTTTTATGTTACCAATTTCAATTTGTGTACTGAATTTTATGGGTTATTTATTAGTTAATATGTTAGGAAAAGTTTATTTCATCAAAATTAATGTTTTATTATAAAGAATTGGATGCAGGGGGAGGGGGTAATCAAAAGCAAATACTTTTGAGGAGGGACAGGGTCAAAGGAGAGAATAGAATAAACAGGGGGTGGGATAGAATTGAGGGAAATATAGTTAGTCTTTCACAACATGACTATTATGAAAGTGTTTTGCATGATTGCACATGTATAGCCTATTTCTAATTGCTTGCCCTCTCAGGGAGGGTGGGTGAGGACGGAGGAAGGGAGAAAATTTGGAACTCAAAGTTTTAAAAATGAATGTTGGAAATTTTTTTGCATGCAACTGGGAAATAAAATACATGGGCAATGGGATATAGAAATCTATCTTACCCTACAGGAAAATAGAACGGGAAGGGGACCAGAAAAGGTGTGAGGGTGTGAAGGGCAGATTGGGGGAAGGCGTAATCCAAATGCATGCCATCATGGAGGGGGGAGAAGGGGAGAGGTTGAAGAGTTGAACAATTTTGTGGAAGTGAATGTTGAAAATTAAAAATAAACAAATAAATTGAAAAAAAACAATTGGATGCAGAAAAGTATATTTTCAGCAATCTCTAGCAAAAAAAAAATGAGTTTTTATAGTCCTGGGAACCTAACTCCCTATTTCCCATAAGTTCAATGTATCAGCATTAGCGTTTATGACTTCTGTACCATTTTCTAGAAAAGATACCCTGGGAAAGTTGAAGATTAACTTTATAATGTTAATATGAGGTAATATATATATGTGTGTGTGTGTGTGTGTGTGTGTGTGTGTGTGTGTGTGTATGTGTGTGTATAATAGCATATCAATATTATCTATGTTCTATTATATTTTTATTTATTTTGTTAAATATTTCCTAATTACATTTTAATTTGGTTCAGGCTACTTTTGTTTTTAACTTTTTATCTCTCAATTCCATGAGTTAGACAGTTGGAAGTGTCTTTCTCTCTCTTATAATTAAGGAAAGTAAGATGACTAGGATGTGTTGGAGCCAGACCTTAAATCCAGGTCTGGCTCCAAATTCAGCAATCTTTTCATCTCCAAAGCAGTGCTATATGAGTTTAGAAAAAGAAGAGATCTGTATAGGCAAAGTCAGGAAAGACTTTCCGGAGAGTGATAGGGCTTGACTTGGTGTTGGAGAGATGTAAAGACAGGGAACCTTTATCTGAGAAGCATTGAGCCCTAGGATGATCATCATTCTGCACAGCCATCCCAACCCTGAAGGATTTGTTTTTATGTCCTAATTTTTAAAAACATTTTTTTTTTGCTATGAAAATTAAAACAACTCTGAGGATTCACCTTATATCTATCAGATTAGCAAAGATGACAAAAAAGGAAAATGACAGTATTGGGCGGACTGGGGGAAGACAGGTACTCTACTACATTTTTGGTGAAACTGCCATTTTGGAAATCATTTTGGAATTATGCCCCTGAAGCCACTAAATTATGCCTACTTTTTTACTCAGAGCTACTACTAGTAGTCCTGTACCCCCAAAGGAACACCTCCAGGCTGTACTCCTGACACTCCCAGACTCTTCTATTCCAAAAACCTGTTTATCCTAAAAGTTCACCCCATTGCTGGACTTCACACATTGGAAGTACCCTTCACCAGTATGCACTCTCCCTCTGATTGACTGGTTCCTCACAAAATCTTCTTTTGAAAGGGAGGCCCAGGCCAGCTACATCTTAATTTCTCCCCAGGCTATACTTATCCTTCTAGACTTTCTCTGCAATGCCTCTGCTCTGGGAACCTTCATTTCCACTCCCTTCCTTTCCTTTCCCTTTGACCTCACCTGGTATTTTTTGTCTACTTCTATTAGAATGTAAGCTCCTTGAAGACAAGGACCATTTTTCTGTTTGTATATGTACTATCAGAGGTTAGCACAGTGCCTGGCACATAGTAAGTGCTTAATAAGAAGTTATTGAAATTATTTTTTTTAAATAAAAAAACCAACCCATTTCTACAAAAATATTTACAGAAGCTTCTTTTGAAGAAGCAAAGAACTGGAAACTAATGGGTGTCCATCAATTAGGGAATGACTGAACAAATTATGTAATATTTTTGTGTCATTTGACATTATGAAATGGTTTCAGAGAAGCCTTAGAAGATTTGTATAAAGTGATGTGATGTAGATGGACTGAACTGAATCAGGAGAACGATTTATAAAATAAAAACAACTTGGAAAGATTTAACAGCTATGGTCAGTGACAACAACACTACTCCATAGGACTGATGATGAAACATTCTACCCATCTCTTATCAGAGATAATAGAACCAAGCTGCAGAATGAAGCATTTAGTTTTTGCACATCAAATACATACATATGTTTTGCTTGCCTATTTGTTTTTTTATAATGATTATTTTTCCCTTTTTATTTGGGGAATAAGGGGAGCTAGTGATAGAATTGCCAAAAATAAAAAAAAAAGAAGAAGAAGAAATGGAATAAAAGAGAGTCAAATGCAAAGAAGTTCAGCGAGAAATAGACAAGCAAGGTAGCTTTGAAAGTGACAAGTTAAATGTTTTTTTAAAAGCAAGTTTTATGTAATAGAAACTTATAGTTTCACATATGATCCTTTTTAAAATTCTATTTTGTATATGGAAATGCTCTTTTTTGGGTGTTCATTAAATTCATAAAAAATATATATTTTGATATGTTAATTCAATTTAACTTTTCCAAATGTGTCATTGTGTTGAAATGGTTTTAATATAGCTGAAAGTAATTAGCTCACTGATGAACTGAGTATTTGTGAGTCACAGACATCCCCTATTACTGATGAGAAAATTACCATTCTTCCAATCCCATAAATCTAAAACCTGAGTCATCCTTATTTCTTCACTCTTACTCCCCTTATGCAATCAGTGAACAAATCTTGAGAATTTTGCCTTCCTAACAGTTCTCTCTTGGGTATCTTGCTTTAGTAATGTCATAACTGCACTAGCTTTCAAATATCCATGTGTTTCAGAAGCCCAGAGGAAAGCTGTACATCCTCTTCCTTGTTGATCTTATCCTTGGATAAATGAGAGCATAGTACCCCTCTGTTATAGTTCATAGTAATAAGTCATCAATTTTTCTCCATTCTACTAAGGGAAAGTGAATGTTATTTTTTTTCAATCATCTTCCAGAAAATTTCTTTCCTACCTGGAGTCATTGATGGAGTATTTTTGCCGAAAAGTCCTGAAGAGCTCCTGGCTGAAAAGAAGTTCAATCACGTTCCCTATATCATAGGAATTAACAATCATGAATTTGGCTGGATTATTCCAACTGTGAGAACATTGTGTTTTTGTTTGTTTGTTTGTTTAAGTTTTTGTTTTTGTTTTTTTTTCTGGAATCTCATGCTTCTCCTTCTGCAGTCTGTAGGACTAGGGCTTCCTTCTAGTTAAATTGGGAAAATTGTCTATAGCTTGATCTAGAGATAATTTGCTGCAGGTTCTGAGCTAATTACAATACCCACCCCCACCCCCACCCCTACTCCAGCATAAAACTTCATTCGTCAATAGGTGCTCTAGGTAGCAGTAAAATTGTTGCAAAGGCAAACCTGATATTTGGCACTCTCACTCATAGAATAGAATATTAAACCTGGAAGAAACTTTGGAGACCATCTAATCCGAATCTCTTATTTTACACGTGGTAAAATTGAGACCCAGAATGACAAGATAAGTTAGTGGCATAGCTAGGATTAAAACCCAGGTGTTTCCCTGTTTTTTGTCATACCCTCTCTCCCACTGACCTCTGCCCCCAATATGGACACACAATCCAGTGATCTTATAGTCTTTTCCATCTGCTTCCTTTTAGAGTTGGGAAATACTAGAGTCTCTCATAGAGCCAAAAGGAAAGTTATCTTTTTTTTTTTTTTTTAGGCAATTGGGGTTAAGTGACTTGCCCAGAGTCACACAGCTAGTACATGTCAAGTGTTTGGTCTGAGGCCGGATTTGAACTCAGGTCCTACCTGACTTCAGGGCCAGTGCTCTATCCACTGCACCACCTAGCTGCCCTGAAAGTTATCTTTTTTTGATCTCTTTGTAGAATCTGACACCACTGATCCCTCTTTCTTCTGAATATCTCTCCTCATCCCATTGTGTGTGTGTGTGTGTGTGTGTGTGTTCAGTGTGACATTGGACTGCCTGTTGAACTAATCTTTCTTATTTGTATTCAGAGATTCATTATCCATGGCCTGCCCTAGTACATGGGTATATCCTAGCACTGGGTCTTTTTTATTTTTCTTCATCTTCTTCTTTTCTCTCTATACTCATGGCAATCTTATCAGTTCCCATGGATTTAATTAATAGTTCTCCACAGAGGGATCCTGAGTCCACATATCCAGCCCTCACTTCTCTCTTGAGTTCCAGTCCAACATCTTCAACTGGCTGATTCACATCTGCATCTCAATGTCCCGTAAGCATCTCAAATCCAACACATCTAAAACAGAGCTATCTTTTCCCCTAAACTCACCCACCCCCTATTATTGTTGAGAGAACCACCATTTCAATCCTATAAATCCAAAACCTAAGAGTCATCCTTGATTCTTCACTCTTACTTTCCTTGTCCAAGGGAAAGGATAACAAGCCTCAAGATTCTGCCTTTCCAACAATTCTCCCATGATTACCTCTCCTTACTCATACCATAACCACCCAAGTCAAAGACATTGTTGCCTATTACCTAGACCAGGCCGGCACAATATTTGGCCAAAGGATTTTGGGCAGCCCATGAAAAACATAGAGGATGTAAAAGAAAGTAAAGCTGTAACTAGTGCTTTGTCCATGCCCCGCTTAAGCCACCTTCCACTAGTCACTATTGTGACCATCATGTAACTTGGGAGGTGGGTTGCCACTGTGCAATCTCTCCTGTTTGTTATGTGACCCACAACAACCAACCATTTAGTCTGTCTCTAGTCTTAGAGAAGCAATTTCATGATAAATAAAAATCTCAAGTAATATGTATAATTAATTGATATTAATTGAAATTTCCTTTTGTTAATATGGTTTATTTGTAAAATAATTTAATCATTAATTATACCTTTATTTGGAAAGTGAGCTGCTAAAAACCCATCTGCAGCCAGAATAAGTTTAGCCTATTTTAATTTTGGCCCGTACCTACTGAGAAGTTGTAGAGGTCTGGCCTAGACACTAATCTAATAGCCTCCTGATTGGTCCCTCTATATCCAGAATTTTTCCTTCTCTAATCCATCTTCCTCAAAGCTGCTAAATTGATATTTATAAAGTACAAATCTAACCATGTAATTTCCCTATCTTATAAGTTTCAATGACTTCCCAATACCTTTAGGATAAAATACAAACTCCTATAGCATTTTATATCCTTCATACTCTGGCTCCAACATATCTTTTCAAGTTAGTTATCCACTATTCTCTACACTGCACTTAAGCCAACTTGGCTGTTTCTCTTGCGTAATATTACATCTCTGGTCTCTGTGCCTTTGAAAAGCTTTACTTATTCCTGTCTCTCCCTAGTCATCTCCACCTCTTTGGACCCCAACTTCCTTAAAGACTCAGCTCAAATGCCACATCCTTCAATATGCCTTTCCTCATTAGTATCCTCCCCCAACCACTGTGTATTTTTTTGGACACATACTTTATTTATGTACCTGTGTAAGTAAATAAAATATCAGCTACTACTGGTCTGGGTAAGGCAAATCCCTAGACCACTGTACTCTTCCCAGAGCTTGGCTCTCCTGTGTGTGTTCTATCTTCTGTATTTCCTGTGCTTGCTTTTTGGTGGACAATTGCAATCTTCAACAATCTCAGGCTATGTCACAACACTTTTCTCAGCTGAAGTGTAACACTTCAGTGCTCTTTTCAGCAAGGGCCACAACCCTTAGCCTAAGATTGAAAGAAGTCTCTTACCTTTGATTCCTTCAGAGCTTTAGGTCTTAGTTTTGTGACCTCCAGCCAGGGGGTAGAGAGGTCTACTCATTTCTGACCGACCATTTTCTCTGATTCAAAGATGGCTTCTCTCAGTAAGGAGTTCTGCCTTTACTTATGATCAGCCACGTTACACTCCCCAGAGTCCAGTTCATGAAGATGAAAGGCTGGAAACAGAGCTTTTGAAATAGTCTGTGCTCTCAGGATAAATTCATTATCTTGATAGCTTCTTCACATGCTATTTTCACCTCCCATCCTATCCAAGTTTCAGAATGTTACCTTTACACCTGAAAGTCCTTCCCTTTACATTTCAGTGTCTCTGCCCTTATTCTATGTAATTGGTCATAACAGGGCTATATGCATATATTTAAAATGAGATCATTGAACAAGGAGATCTTAGAGGTTATTTCCAAATCCTTTTCTGAATTTATCCTCCCAAATTTAAATGGCTTATGATAAGAGGTAAATTTCTCAGTGTTATTTACATTCTACTTGGAAACAATCTTGTAATAATGCCAGAATTTCAGGAATCACAAACGGCACATGGGAGACTTCTAAAGGCATTGCTAAAACGATTGCAGGTTCAGTTTCCCCCCTTACCTAGTTACCTAAGTAAACTCTGATGAACAGGAATCTAGAAGCTTCATATTTTCTGATTATTTGAGCACCATAGAGATCTTCATATTAATGGATATGCCTGTTGGCTGGGTAGAAGTGAGGCATTTACTGTTTTCATACTTTTAAAAACATTTTCCTGATTTTCACTTTAGATGTTTCCTAGGACATTTAATAAGCCAGGTAAACTCACTGCTTAACTCAACTTAAACCAAAATAAAATGAGTACTCTCCCTGCTTGTTTCATAAAACCTGCTTTATTTCATATGTTAATTGTTATTTCTTTTATGTGAAATGACTGGTGCAGTTGATGGAGTTCCCTCTCTCAGAAGGCATACCAGACCAAGAAACAGCAACAGCACTGTTATGGAGCTCCTACCCACTTGTTGTAAGACATTTAGAACTTTATGATGTCAGGGCTGGGAGGGAACTTAGACTTTGGAATTTCAGAGTTAGAAAGGATCATAGAATCTAATACAAACATACATACACACACACACACACACACACACACACACATATATATATGCATGTATGTATGTATATGTATATGTAGTGCCAGGGTTTAAGTCAAAGTATTCTCACACCTAATCCTATATGATTTTCAATTCACTATGATGCCTAGCATCCTAAGGCAGAAAAAAATCACTCAAAGAGACCGAATTTTACTCTACTTTGTATTTCCCTCCTTTGGTTAAGAAGTAGAAAACTTTAGCATAATTTTCCTCACTGTAAGGTAGTAGTCAGTAAAAGACTGCATGTAGTGAAATAATGAAGCCTTCTCCAATCTTTTTCTTCCCCTAAGATGGAAGAATTCTAATCCTTCTCTGAAGAACCCCCATATCATGTTGTTTACATCTCTCTTATATACTTGTCATATTATATGTTTGACTATAATCTCTTTGAGGAAAGGAATTATCTTATTCACTTCTATAACTTCTAACATGCATAACATAGAAACATTATACAAGTACTTAAAATAGGATATCTCACCTAAAATTTAACAATGTTTTTATAGAAACATAATATTAGGTGAAACAGTATTTCAAAGGACATTTAGTTCAGTGGCAGTGTTATAAATAGGCATTGGTTAAATGATGTTATAGCAAAGTAACAACTTTATAGTACAGGTTGGTTATGATATAATGATGTTGCTGTGAAAACGTGTTAATTAGTACAATTTTATGTGATGCATACTAATGAATGAATGCATGAAAAGCCAGTCATGTATTCCTCTTTACTTCTTTGTTTATCATTTCAGAAAATCCCCAAAGACCTTACTCCTGTTTTAACTAAGGAATATCTTGGAATGACAAATGATCCTATGAAAAGGAAAGAACTGTTTACAAAATTGTTAGGAGACTTGGTATTTGGAATTCCATCTGTGAGGTTGGCTCGATTTCATATGGGTGAGTTCCTGAGTAACAGCAAGTAGTAACACAGTCAACCTTATTCATCCCAATAATTAGGCAAGGATGAATACTCAATATTCAAACCCTACCCAGAGACAGAATAAATAGGAGACTCTCTTTTTAGTAAAAAGAGCATTAGGACTTTCAGGGGCAAAGAGCCAAGATGATGGAGTAGAAAAGCCCTCAGCAGAGCTCTCCCAACATTCTTCTCCAAACAACTTTAAAATAATACCTCAAATTGAATACTAGAGTGGCAGAGCCAAAAAAGAAAAAAAGGTCAAAGTGACATATTCTTCCAGGCCAAGACAACATAAGAGGTTGGGAAGAGAGATCTGTGACATGGGGGATGAGGCTGGCTTGGAGACCATGTGGATGAAACGCTACTAGTTGGACTAGGTAGTGGAGACAGAAGCAGCAGCAGCTTCAGTCTCTCCTAAGCCAGAGATGGTACGAGGATCTGGCAAATGATAAGAGATTACAGGGTACCTCTGTGATAGCACTAGATACCAGACCAGATGTTGCTTGGCAACTCCATTGCATATACCCACTTCAGGGTCAAAGTTCAAGGGCAGAGAGCAGCATTCTTTGCTAGAAGGGATTGAGGCCAAAAGTGATACCGACTCTTAGGTATCACTTTTGACCCCAAGAGATCAGAGACCCAGACATGCAGTATCATTTCTACTCCCATGGAAGGAGAGGCCCTGAGGATCAGTACTGATTGTAATCCCAAGGGATCAGGGGCCCTCCCTGGGTAAGACTAGGGTGCAGACCAAGATAGCAACTACCACACCTCTCCCCAGATGATACCACCTTTGAAGCACCAAAAACTTCCAAATTCCAGAACTAGCTATGAAAACAGTAGTGTGAAAAAGCCTGAAGCTTGAAAGAGAGCCCCTCCCAACTCTCATGCCTAGAATAGAACCCAACATTAACATAAAATTTCAAATCAAGAAATAGGGTGGAAAAAGGAGCAAACAACAAAAAAAGAACTTGACCATAAAAAGCAGCTAAGGTGATAGAGAAGATCAAAACACAAATTTAGAACAAACAATGAAATCAAAATAACTACAAGCAAAGCTGTAGAGGGGAAACAATGTAAATTGGACATGAGCCCAACAAGAATTCGTGGAAAAATCATTTTTTTTTTTCAAAATCAAATAAGAGTGGTAGGGAAAGAAAATAGGTAAAGAAATGAAAGCAAAGGGGAAAAATATTAAAAGACAATTAACAACTTGGTAAAAGAGGCACAAAAATAACCTAAAGAAGGGACAGCTAGGTGGTGCAGTGGATAGAGCACCGACCCTGAAGTCAGGAGGACCTGAGTTCAAATCCAACCTCAGACCAAACACTTGATGCTTACTAGCTGTGTGAACCTAGGCATGTTACTTAACCCAATTGCCTAAAAAAATTTTAATTGAACAAATGGAAAAAGAGGTATGAAAATTCACTGATGAAAGTAACTCCTTAAAAAGTAGAATTGGACAAATGGAAAAAGAGGCTACAAAATCTCACTGAAGAAAATAATTCCTTAAAAATTAGAATTGGGCAAGGAGAACTCATGACTCCATGATACATCAAGAAACAATTTTAAAACAAAGTCAAAAGAATGGAAAAATAGAAGAAAAGGTAAAATATCTATTTGGAAAAGTAACTGACCTAGATAATATGTTGAGGAGAGCTAATTTAAGAATTATTGGACTACAATACCTGACAGTTCACTGACAGTTCAACCTGTTAATTTAGTTATTCAGTACTGTACCAATCAACCAACCAAAAATTATTTTATAGAACTAGAAAAAATAGTAGCAAAATTCATCTGGAAAAATGAAAGGTCTAGAATATTAAGGGAATCAATGAAAAAAATGTGACGGAAGGTAGCCCACTAGTACCAGATTTCAAACTATATTACAAAATGGTAATCATCAAAATAATCTGGTATTTGATAAAAAAAAAGAGTAGAGGATCAGTGGAAGAGATTAGATACACAATACACTGTAGTAAATGACTACAGTAATCTAGTGTTTGATAAACCAAGAACTCAATGTTTAACAAAAAAATTTTGGAAAAACTAGAAAGCAGTTTGGCAGAAACTAAACAGAGACCAACATCTCACACTGTATACCAAAATAAGAAGAAAATGAATAAGTGATTTAGACATAAGGAGTAATATCCTAAGTAAATTAAGAGAGCATCGAAAAGTGTACCTGTCAGATCTATGGGTAATGGAAGAGTTTATGACCAAACAAGAGACAGAGAGGATCACAGTAAGTAAAATGGATAATTTTGATGACATGAAATTAAAAAGCTTTTGCATAAACAAAACTAATTCTGGCAAAATTAGAAGGAAAAGAGGAAAGTGGGGGGAAGTTGCAATAAGTTTTTCTGATAAAGGTCTCATTTCTCAAATACATGGGGAACTGAGTCAAATTCATGAAAATGAGATTCATTCCCTTGTTAATAAATGGCTAAAGGACATGAGCAGGCAATTTTCAGAAGAAAAAATTAAAGCTATCAAGAGTCACAAGAAAAATGCTCTAAATTACTATTGACTAGAGAAATACAAATTAAAACATCTCTGAGATACCTCACATCCCCAGATTGGCTAACATGATAGAAAAGCAAAATGACAAATTCTAGAGAGGATGTAGAAAAATTGGAACACCAATGCACTGTAGGTAGAGTTGTGAATTGGTCCAACTATTCTGGAGAACCATTTGGAACTATGCCCAAAGGGTTATAAAACTATGCATGTCCTTTGATATAGCCATACCACTGCTAGGTCTATATCTCCAAGAGATCAAAGAAAAGGGGAAATGGTCTATTTGTACAAAAATAATAATAGCAACTCTTTGTGTGGTGGCAAAGAATAGAAATTGAAGGGATACAATTCATGCAAACTGAAGTAAGCAGGACCTGGAGAACACTGCACACAGTAACAGCAATATTATAAAGATGATCAACTGTGAAAGATTGAGCTACTATGATCAAGACAATGATCCAATACAATTCTAAAGAAATTTAAGAAAAATGTCATCTACTTCCAGAGAAAGAACCGATAAACTCTGAATGCAGATTGAATCATACTTTTTAAACTTTCTTTATTTTTGTTATTTTATTTTGTTTGTGTTTTCTTTTTCAACATGGCTAATATGGAAATATATTTTGCATGACTACACATATGTAATCAAAATCAAAGTGTTGGCCTTCTCATGGAGGGAGAAGGGTTAGGAGGGAGATAATTTGGAACTCAAAAGTTTAAAAAAGTGATTGTTAAAATTTTTTGACATGCAATTAGGAAATATTTAATGAAATATAAAAATAATTTCAAAAAAGAATGATAGATTCAGAGAATCTGATTCAAATTCTGACTCTGCTATTTCCTATTAGGATACAGGACAATATATTTTTTGATGTAAGGGAGAGGAACAGTTTGTGAGCAAAGGACACTGTTTGGCCTAGATAGGCCACACTATAATTTCAGATTGTGAATCCATGAGTTTGCTTTGATTCATTGAAAATTCTAGATTAAATAAAGGTATGGATACATTTTATTTTTATATATTCTTTATGTCCTAAAATGTTGCTTTTGTGATATAGTGTGCTTATCCTAGAATATAGGTCTGACTAGGTAATCTCCCTATTCAGTAAACTGCAGCAACTCCCAATTAACTCCAAGATCAGATATTACAGTTACTTGCCCAAGGCCACAAAGCTAGTAAGTGTGACCAGCATAGAAGAATAAGAAGGAACAGTCAGATATAAAGAACTAGAAGAGAGCAGTGTCACTAAAGCCTTAAGAAGACATTATCCAAGAAGAGAAGGCAATCAACCATGTCAAATGCTATAGAGATAACAAGGAAGATCAAGAATGAGAAAAGGCCAGTTCTCATAGGCAGTTGAGAGAACATTCAAAACTTTGGAAAGGGCAATTTCAGTTAAATTATGAGGTTGGGAGCCAGATTGTACAATGTATAGAAGAGAATGAAAGGAAAGGAAATGGAGGCATTGATTGTAGTCTTCTTTCTCATGGACTTCAGTCATGAGGGAGTAGATAGATATAAGATGATAGCTACTGAGAATGATCAGATTGTGTGAGATTTTAGTTTTTAAGGACGGAAGAGACCTGGACATATTGGAAGACGAGAGTGGGGATAAAAGTGGGAGGCAATGTTCTGGAGAATTTTGAAGGGGTGGAATTGAGGGTGCATGTAAAGGAATTTGCCATGGCAAGAAGAGCTTCTTCTTCATCTGAGAGCAGAGTGAAAAAGAAGTAGAAGGAGATATTCAAGTGATGTGAGACTTAAGAAGAAATGGAGAAGGGAGGAGTTCTTGACAAATATTCTCAATATTTTTCAGTGAAGCCAGAGTCAAGGTCTTCAGGTGAAAATGTGGGAGGCTTGAGGAGTGATGAGAATGTTGGGATAGTGAATCAATAGCATCTAGAAAAAGAATGTTTGCCTTAATGAAATGAGGGCCCAGTTAAGTTAACAAAATGTTTAATTCCATTATATTCTGCCCTGGTCATATTATACGTAGATTATCATGTTCATTTCTAGATGCCACAGTTAGGAAGGACATTAATAAATTGGAGAATATTCCAGGAGTGGCAATGAACATTGAGAAACAGATCAAATCTAAACTATATGAAAATAAGTTAAAAGAACTGGTGATTTTATCCTGGAGAAGAGAAGGTTCAGGAAGGACATGATATCTCTCTGCAAGTATTTAAAAGGGTATCTTGGTGGAGGGAGGGAGGCAAGGATTAGGCTTGTTCTGTTTATCCGCAAAGGGAAGAGTTAAGAGTGAAGGATTGGTTACAAAAAGGGAAAGTTAGGTTTAATGTAAAAATAAAACACTACTTACCAATGAGAATTATAAACTAGTGGAATGAATGGGCTGCCATGAAAAGTAGTGGAGTCCTCTCACGGAAGGTCTTTAAGCAGATGATGGTTGCTTATGTGTTGGTTAGGCTGTTGTGGGATTCTTTTTCAAGTATAGGTTGGACTAGAAAGCTCCTGAGGTTCCTTTCAGCTATGAACTTCTATGGAGCATTAATTCATCTTGGGGTAGAATAATGTTACCATGTGCCTAGGAATAAGGAACCATCTGATGGACATGAGGGAAGACTGAACTAGATGGTCCTGGACAACTAAAATACTATGATCAAGGTTGCAGATCTTTTACTGAACTGAAGGTAGTTTTCAACATTAGGAAAATCATGTCTATCAATACCAGCCATCACTCTGCATATCTCTGTCAGCTCCTCTAGGTCTCTTATATACCCAGAACTTGGAGTCCCCTATTAATTAAACTAACTTAAGAACTCAGAGCAAAATTCTTTCATATTTACCAAGCAGCCCCTAGGGACTCCCTTGTAAGTAAATACATCTGAGGTAGAAAACTTGATATACTGAATTTTCTACTATTCTTTCTTTCAGCATCAGGTGCACCAACATACATGTATGAATTTCAGCATCGGCCAAGCTTCTCAACCAACCTGAAACCAGAGACAGTGAAGGCAGACCATGGGGATGAAATTCTTTCTGTCTTTGGGGCTCCGTTTTTGAAAGGTGATTGATATCTGCTTGCTACAAAAACCTTATCAAAACATTATTTACTAGTTATTTGGAAAATTATATTTAACTTAAACAATTACTTAACCCTTTTCATTTATCAATCATTTCACTTGATTCTCACAGAATCTTCTATGAAGCAGAAAGTCAAGTCAAGTGAATAAGAGTTTGTTAAGTACTTACTATGTGCCAGGCACTGTGCTAAGCACTGAGGGGTGCATGGAGAGGGAAGGATGTAAAGTAAAAGACAGCCCCTGCTCTCAAGGAGCTCACAGTTTAATAGGGAAAACAACATGCAAATAATTATATCCAAACTAGATAGATAGATAGAGTAAATTAGAGATGATCATCTCAGAGAAAGAGCACTAAGACTATGGAGGACCAGGTAAGATTTCTTTCAGAAGGTGGAATTTTTGCTGAGACTTGAAAGAAGACAGTGAAGTCAAAGCAGTTATCAGGAGGGTGAGAATTCCACTTATAGGAGGGGAATGGTCAATGAAAATGTACTGTTGAGAGAGATGGAAGGTCTTGTGCAAGGAACAGCAAGGAGACCAGTGTCACTGGATCACAGAGAAAATAGGGGTGGGTGGGTGGGTGGGTGGGCGGAGATTTAGGTATAAAGGAAACTGGAAAGGTAAGAGTTGGCTAGGCAATGAGGGCCTTAAATGCCAAACAAAGAATTTTTATATTGATCTTGGAGATGATAGAGAGCAACTAGAGTTTCTTAAATGGGAATGGTTATTAGCCATTCCCTCCAGATAAGGAAACAGGCCCTGAGAAAAGAAATGCATTCCCTAAATTTAGTGGCAGAACCAGAACTAAAATGAAGGTCTTTTGGCTCCCCACTCTCTACCCCAGGCTCATCTCACTAGGCAATGTATCCTAAGTCATATGTGTCATCACTGAACAAGGGTTTCTTCTTGCCACAAAGAGTAGATGGCATTTGGGGCTAAATTGACAGAAGCATAGTGTATAGAATTAGTGAGATGATAATATTCCTATAATGTTCTTTGTTCTGATGGTATCTGGCATATTGTGCTCAGGTCCTGGTACCATATTTTGAAAAGACATTGACAAACTGGAGAACATCCAGTGGAAAGGAACCAGGAGAGTGAGGGGCCTTCAGAATTTGTCATATGAGGAATGCTTGAAGCAAACAAGCACGATATTTGACCTGAAGAGGAGAAGAGTTTGTAGGATCTGACAGCTTTTTCAAGATTTTGAAGGATTAACCTTGTTCTGCTTGGGGAGATTTAGGAGCTGTGCATGAAAGTTACAGGGAGAGATGGACTTCAGCTTAATGTGAAGAAGATTTCTTAATGATTAGAAATGTCCCAAAGTGTCCTTCTGTTTCATGAGATCAAATGCTGAGGGCAACTAGGGGGTGCAGTAGATGAGCACTGGCCCTGGAATAAGGAAGACCTGAATTTAAATCTGACCCAGACACTTACTAACTGTGTGACCCTGGGCGAGTCACTTAACTCTATTTATCTCAGTTTCCTCATCAGCAAAATGAGCTGGAGAAAGAAATGGTAAACTACTTCAGTATCTTTGCCAAGAAAACCCCAAATGGGGTTTTGACAAGTTGGACACAACTGAAATGATAACAACAACCACAACAATGCAAAGGTTGAATAATCACTTGTTAAGAATGTTGTAGGAGAGATTTCTGTTGAGGATGAGTTGAACTAGGTATTCTTCATCCAAAGTCCATCTAAATTCCAATTCTGATTATGAGAGCATTCGCAGTGAAAGAATATCATGAACAATCAATCAATCAATAAGCATTTATTGAATGTCTGTTATGTTTTGGGCACTGAAGTAGACACTTGGGGTCAAAGACAAAAATAAGCTTATATCCTGTCACTAGAGCATTCATATAGCTCTGCTTCTGGAGCCTAGCTTTCACTGATAGTCTGCCCTGCTTTAGAGGCTCATCATAGTAACATGAGCATAGCAAAGATATACTTTAGAGGAGTCTTTGTACCACAGAATCAAAACGTTAACCAGTGTGTTCAAGGTTAATTTATATGATGACCATGTAACAGCAATCCTTCCATCTAGGGGCTTTGGTCTAACCCAGGATTGGGGAACCTGTGGCCTTCAGGCCACATGTGACCTTCTAGATCTTAAGTGTGGTCTTTGGATTAAATCCAGATTTTATAGAACAAAAGGGTTTGTGAAGGATCTAGAAGGCCACATGTGGCCTGAAGGCTGCAGGTTCCCCACCCCTGGTCTATGCTCTGGATGCCCATTTTCCTTTCAAGCACAGCCAGTTCTGGCCACCTTTACTAGGCTTCCTGAGGATTTCTACGTATTTCCCGCTCTGAGAGAGAATCTGAATGCAGACCACCTTGACATTTTAAATGCCACTCTCAGCAAATGCTTTGAGGTTGAATGTTCAACACAATGGATCCCTAGGACTTAGATACCAAGCTGGAAATAGGGTAACATAAAAGAAATGGATTTGGAGTCAGAAGGCCTAGGAAGAAGTCAAATCTAAGCTTTGCTGCTTATTACATATATGACCTTGGATAAGTCATTTAGTCTTTAGCCTCACTATCTGTAAAATAAAGGGATGGGTCTAGACCAAGGGTGGGGAACCTGCAGCCTCAAGGCCACATGTGGCCTTCTAGGTCCTCAAGTGTGGCCCTTTGACTCTCATTGAAAGGTAGATGGTTCCTATAAGCAAAATTTTATGATCCTAGATGCTATTAGTATTCATTATCCTCTCCAAAAGCTCTCTCCTGCTAAGCTATTGCTTATGCCTGAAATTCCACCATTAGAGACTAATTCCTTTATAGTTAGTGCCTTCTTTCTAAATATATATGCCCGTGTACTGGCATTTATTAGGTATTATTTGATTATTTCTTAAAATTACTTCTAGAGAAAAGGAAAGTAAAATCTTGGTAGGATTAGCAAAAAAAGTTAAAGAAATAGAGAGATATTGGGTCACAGCAATATCTGGGGAGGACACACCAGGATGTATGCAACATTGTAAAGTGCAGGAGTCATGGCAGAGCTCACAAGTGGAAATGGGTGTGAAAGGAGCATGAGATGGGCACTGAGTATGTACCTCTCAATTTTATCCCTAAAAATATTGTAGTCACATTCTAATGTCTTTAATTCTCATTTTCAGCAAGCTCACCAGAGGAAGAGAAGAGACTTAGCAGGACCGTGATGAAATATTGGGCCAACTTTGCTAAGAAGGGGTAAGATTGGTAACACAGGGAAACTACTAGGGATTTTGCTTCAATATGTTTTGTAGGTATCTCTCTCTCCTTTTTTTTTTTTGTTTTTGAACGACCACCGCTGATTCAATGAGTATTTTTATTTTAAAAATATTGATTTTTTTTTCAGAAACCCTAATGGGGAAGGACTGCCAAAGTGGCCTGGCTATGATCAGAATGAAGGTTACCTCCAAATTAACATCACCCCCAAAGCAGCCAAAAATCTGAAGGAGAAAGAAGTGGAATTTTGGACTGAGGTCATGTCAAAAGAGCCAGCTGGGGTGAAGAGAGAACACGTTGAGCTTTAATCTGGCGAGGTCTGCCATCACATAGTAAAGAAGCCTCAGTAGACCTCAATGGCAAGAGTTTTTTGTTTTACTTGGCATGGATGCCTAGTCCTTTGGTGGTCAGAGAGCTCCTAAGAATGGGTGGAGGGGAAAAAAAAAAGAAATAGAAACAGAAATAGCCATACATCAGCCTGATAAAAGGAAGGAAACACAACTTAAGCACTGGGGGCCATGAGGAGCCAAAGATTACTTTCTCTTCTGAATGTTTTTAGTGGGTGAGGCTGGCTTTGTATCATACTAAATAAAATCCACTTTACTTGGAATTCTTGCTGCCTGCGTCAGTGTCTTGGTCCCTGGTATTGAGATGAATAAGTCCTTCCCTGAAATAAAGCTATTATCCTTCATGCCCAGTCATGGTCTTTGCTATATACTTTAGAGGTTTGGGTTTACAATTTAATACATATAGATTCAGACTTTAAGATATTAATGAATGAAATAATTAAAAGGCATTTATTCAATGCTTCCTACAAGCCAAGCACTAGATTGCAAATACAAGAGTAAAGCCAAACCCAATAACAGATGTGAACATATCTAATCATAGCCATAGTCCCTGCCCTAAAGCAGTTTACATGCAGATAGAGGGAGAGCACAAATAAAGGGGAATGGTGGCCAGGGAGGGGTATTTTGGTTCGGAAAGTAACAAGGGTGATGAGTAAAGGCATAAGGGAATAGAATGGCACATCCTTTCCAAAAACAATAGTAGTACTGAATGAATTATGGCTAAAGAATTAGACAGGCAAAGGAAGGATATTGTAGAAGCTATACAAGCAGCAGCAAGGTGTATGTTGAACAGATGGCCAGAGAGTAAAATGAACTATAAGTAGAGCTGACCTGATATAGTGGGCCCTATGAGGCATTCACCAATCAGAATAGGAGATTTGGAAATGAAAAGGTTAAATCCTTGAGGGTACAATATCTAGTTTGATTGGCATTGGCACATCTAGGTTGCTTTATTGATCAGGGTGACTTGTCTTAGTTACAGGAATGTTCTTGCTCATGATCTAATTCAACTGGCTAGAAATTGTACAGAACTTCTTATCTTCTCCTTCTTTACAATGACCAAAGGCATCATCCTATCCAGGCTATCCCTATATCATCACTATCCTTTGCCAAAAAGCCCCCTACCCACACACCATAATGTAGGAGCAAGATTCCATACCACACACATGCATTAAACTTTAAGGTCATTTTGATACATTTTATGTTCAACCTTCTCTGTCTTGATTCTGACTTTATCTCTTAGAGGCAGCAATCTTTGTTCTTCATTATTTGTTCTTCTTTCTCTTCCTATTTCTGGAATAGTCCATCTTGGTCCAAAATAGCAAATAATTAATCCCTAGTATGATGACCCTTTCTCTACAAAGCAGAGGTTGGAGAAGGAATGGAGGAATAGTTTATACCACTTCCACTCAAAACCACATCTGTTTCGGATCTAAGCCAGTTCTTACACAGAGTTGTCTTGATCATCCAAGCTAGGTTTAACCAAGCTTCATTCTTTTGCTATCAGTTTCCTTGCCTATTTTTATTTCTATTTAAGAAAATTGTAATTTATTTGCAAAGTTTCACTGTAGCCCATTCTTTGCTTGCAGATACTTTCTTTGAATTCTAGTGCCTTGGCTGTCATACTTAGAATAGTATATGTCAACAAATCAACCAGGTATTGCCAAAGATTCCAGCTCCATTCTTTTTTCTTCAGCTCTACATTTCATTCAAATATGATTTCTTACATAATTACAATAAACCAACCAAACCAAACCTAAGTGTAAGACCCATAACAGCAAGAAGTAAAACAATAACACTTAAGATACACCAGTATAGACAACAGTAGCAAGTACTTATTAAATGCTATGTGCTAGTCATTGTGTTATGACTGCAATATAGCTTAGAGACAGACCCTGCCCTCAAGGACCTTACATTTTATTACTACTATTAATAATACCTCTTGGGATTATGATAAAAATATGGCCTCTGGAAAGCAATGTCTGCTGATTCAAACAAAAACTGCAATCAATGTCCCCCCACCCCTTGTTTGAGACCCTGGGAAACTTCCCTGGCTCTGGACTGATGTGGCCAGAACTTGATTGACAAGCAACCCCCTTCTTTTTCTAAAGGAGTTGATGATGCAATTCTCATGAAAGCTAAGGTAAACTCTTACTAGTCCCCAGCATGAGAAAAGCCACCCAGGAGAAGGAGAAGGAACCCAGGGAGAGTAGCCCCAACAAACAGTAGAGTAGGAGAGTGAGAAAGCAAAGCTGCAAAGAACCACAGTCATGGAAGAAGCAGAATTATGATAATGGAATAGCCACCACAGATCTGGGGGCCATGAGATGTGCATGGGGAGATTATGCTTTTGCTGGGCTCATCCAGAGGAACAGACTCAAGGCTAGGTATTCCTGCCCACACGTCTCTGTTGCCTCTTCTTTCTCAAGAGACAATGTTCATTTGCTCATGAAATTTATCTGTTTCTTTAAAGTTAACATATCTTCCTATTTACCTTATTTTTCAAATTAGTTTGATCAAGATAAATAGTTAACCATTATATGACTGATTTCTGCATTTCATAGCTCAAATGCAGCTGAGAAAGACAATAGAGGAGGCATTTGGGAGAGAGAGAAAAAAATAGATTTTACAACTGTGATATTTATTCACCAAGGCAATTTTCCTGACTGATGACTTAGAGAAAATTAAGAGATAAACTGATATGGATATTTCTAATTAAAAGAATCAGTAACTTTGTTTGTGAGAAGGCTATGATGAACTGGGATTGGTATAGGAGGTGGCCCTTGGCCAGTTCTTTTTTCCATTGTCTCTTCTTCCTATTCACAGCTTGAAAGGAAAGTCAGGACATGTCTGAGAGTCAAAGTGGCTATGAAGAAAGTTGTGCTTATATGGAGAAATTGAGGGAATTACTGGGAAGTAGGAGTGTTGCCCATAAGTATGGGAGTCCAGAGAAGGAGTGATAACCCTGCCCAACAGCTCAGCTGCCCCCACCACCATTGCAAGATATCACTAAGTGGAATCCAACCACTCACATCCAGGAGTCCACATTGCATAAGTTTCCCACAATATCTCTACATTATCAGTTCTCACGCTGGCTCTCACAAGTCATGATGCTTTACATTTCATATCACAGTGTAGGCCAGGTTCTCTTGAAATTGCCTTCTCCTGCCTCTCCTAAAGCATCTGGAAGCACAATAGATAGAAAGCTGGGTCTGGAATCTGGAAAACTTGAGTTCAAATTCAGCCTTAGATACTTACCAGCTGTGTGACCCTAGAAAAAGTCACTTAACTTTTGCTTCCTCAGTTTCATCAATTGTAAAATGGGAACAAAATTGGGACCTACCTTGCAAGATTATTATGAAGATTAAATGAGGTAATATTTGTAAAAAGTGCTTAGCACAGAGCATAACACATATTAGGTGTTATACAAGTACTTATTCCTTTATTCCCTTCCTGAAAACCATGATCTATTTCTAGACACTGTGAAAGACAAATAAATAACCACAAGCCTTCTTGAGTGATGATACCAACAATTTCTTCCAGGCTTGGCCCGATGACATCAATTTTATACTTACATTGTATGCCAGGTATCTCCCATTATTGTGAATTGTGTCAATTCTAAGAGTTACTACGTACAGTTTAATGTCCTTAGCTTGTTGTCAACAAAGGTGGAATGGGATAGTAATGCTTCCATACAAGTTATTAGAAGCCTTGAATAACTTTAAAATCAAATCAACTCTCAGTAAATTTCTACATAATAGCTAAATATTGGACACACAAGACTAGTAGAAAAAAATAGATGCTTTTGATCTTTGTTAATCCTTTAAAAGCTATGGATATAGACTTACTTTGACTTTATGAATGTTATCTCATCAATGAGACATTCCTTTCTATGATGCAGATTACAATCCAACTATACCTTCTTATCATCTGTGCCTTTCCACGTCTGCCCATAAATCCTCGATGAGATTTTAACCTAACATGCTAGCAGACATTTTCATGCTATTGTGTTGATGCCTATGAATCACAAGAGGCACACAGACAAATAATATGGTAGAAAGAGCACTGAACTTGAATTCAGGAATACCTGGGTTCAAATTCTCTTTTGATAATATGTGACCACGGACAAGTCATTGAACCTCACTGAGTCTCAACTTCATCTGTAAAATGAGGAATTTGCACTATACGTCCACGAAGTCCCCTCTAGTTCCAAACCTATGATACATTGATTTATTATTATTTTATTGTTATTGTTATTATTATTGTTGTTGTTATTGTTATCATCAACATCAATATCATCATCATGACCATCATCATCATCATTATTACTATTATGGAGAATGAGGCACCTATTCACATGTTTGATCTTATCAGCATGGGAGATTTGACCCTCTCCTTTTTCAACATGGTTTTTTGCCCCTCTTTAGGCAGGCTGGTGGTCCCTTGCTCCTGAGGACTTACCATATTGGTGCCAGACTTACTGCAGATATACTCACTTGGTTTTAGTTCTGCTGCAGCTTAGAATTCCCAAACTCCAGCTAACCACAAACTCAAGTCTTCCAGAAGCAGGAGTTACAATTGTGGACCACTATATCCAGTGACTGATTATTATTTAATATCACTATTTGACCAGAAAATCTATCAGGATTTATGCTCATCTCTACTCACAGGAAATCAGCTCACTGTCTGGGGAAAACACCATAAAACTTCAAAGGTGGCACTGAAAGCAATCCTGGTTGCTGGTATAATTCAAACCTCTACAATAATGATACAACTAGTCTCCAAATCTTGGGGACCCCCCAGGTTTTGGTGTTCATCACTGTTTACCTCTCAGTTTCCCTCTCTGATGTGTCTGAGATTCTCTCCATATCTCTACTGCTTTCTGCATTCCTGATGATCATATATTGCATGAAGTATAGTCTTTAACCAATGGCCCAGCTTTGTTTCTCACTTGTGAGTCATAATTTCATGAACCTGAACCTATGGCATTCCCATGCTCCTCTTCTTTTACTTTTCCAACCTCAATCAAATCCAATGGCATTCTTGATGCCATTTCTATATTAAAGCTGGAACGTACCTTCCAGGTTATGATATAAACCCCTGATTTTGCAAATTAAGACCCTGAGGCCCAGATAGGTTAAGGGACTTTCACTGAGAGGATCAATGTCAACCAGGGTTTCCATTTCTTCATCTCCACTGCCCTCCGCAATATGCCACATAGGTTAGTTCTTTCCCTAGAGGCAAAGAAGCTGTCTACAAGACT